CAATAGAGAAGGAGCTCCTCGCGATCGTTTGGGCAACCAAATATTTCCGGCCCTACCTTTTTGGCCGCAAATTTAAAATCATTACCGACCATAAGCCGCTTCAGTGGGTCATGCAGCTAAAAGAACCTAATGCGCGTCTAACTAGATGGAAACTCAAGTTATCCGAGTATGATTTCACTGTTAAGTATAAAAGTGGTAAATCGAACACTAACGCTGATGCCCTTTCGCGCGTCGAGATACATAACGAGGAAACGGATTCGATGATTGCTCTCGCGTCGGAACGACCGCCCTCTGTGGAAAATTCGTCCACAGCATCCGCACATACCAGTAAGGAAAACCCCATTCTCGAAGTTCCTATTGTAGACCAGCCGCTTAACAAATTCCATAGGCAGATTGTTATCTCCGTGGTTGGTGACATAAAGAAACGCCCCGTAGCTTCCAAGCCGTTTGACACTCATAACAGAATAGCTGTGCAAGTATCTAAATCAGACCTTGAGAATGACGTTGTAAATCTTGTAAAGGAATACGTAATCCCTAAAGTTAAGACGGCCTTACTTATCAATCCGCCTTTAGCAATGTACGACATTATTCCAGTCATACAGGATAAGTTTAAAAATTCGGCCATGAATTTAGTGCTAACAAAAACTGAGGTGGAAAATGTAAATGACTATTTAAGGCAGCAGGAGATTATCAAAAATTATCACGACGGTAAAACTAACCACCGTGGTATAAATGAGTGTCATCTTGCCTTGTCTTGCCGTTATTACTGGCCAAAGATGCGAGATCAAATTACCAAAATTATCAATGATTGTACTATCTGTGGCCAAGCTAAGTACGATCGTAATCCCATCAAACCGCAATTTAACATCGTTCCTGCTACTAAACCGTTCGAAATTGTGCACATAGATTTGCTTTCTATACAAAATGAGAAATATTTAACTATTGTAGATGCGTTTTCCAAATACGCGCAGGCATACCATGGTCGCGATGCCACGGCAATCAGTATCGTTCAAGCACTGTTAAATTTTTGCACTCATCATGGGCTACCTCTAACAATAGTATCAGACAATGGCACAGAATTTACCAATCAGATATTTAATGACTTTACTAATTTACACCGGATTAACCATCACAGAATACTACCTCACTCCCCCAACGATAACGGCTTAGTAGAAAGGTTCCACGCGACGATTCTGGAACATCTCAGAATCCTAAAATTACGCAATAAAAGTGAGAATGCTATAAACCTTATGCCATACGCAATTTTAGCTTACAATAGCTCCGTACACAGCTTTACCAAATGCAGACCTTTTGATATTATAACTGGGCATTTCGACCCGCGAGACCCCTTTGACGTAGATATGACGAAACACTTAACGCAGCAATACGTACAGAATCATAAGGATCAGATGAAGTTAGTTTATGAAACGCTAGGGGAAATTAGCCTGGCTGACCGTACCAGCATCATAAATAACCGTAATAAAGATCGCGATCCTGAAATCGAATATCAGCCACATCAGCGTATTTTTGTGAAGAACCCTCTTGCGAGTCGTCAAAAGTTGGCCCCTAGGTATAGTCGTGACACAGTATTGGCAGACTTACCTATACATATATACACCTCACGAAAACGCGGGCCTGTTGCCAAAAATCGTCTTAAAAGAATACCCAAAAGTGCCAAATTGTTACAGGGTGCTACTGGTCCTGACTGCTCCTTCGATAGCATCCCACAGGATGAGTCAAGAGATAACACTTGAGAGCCTTGACGACGGCCCCGGACTTCTACCTTTTCGGCTTGGCGCAACAAGGCTCATTACGCACTATCATACTTTTATACAATTCGTAGAATTAGATGATATTAATGATAAAATCTCGCAGCTACAGAATCAACTAATATATTTTAGACAAACTCTAGGAAACGATACTTATATGCTTTATGAGGCTCAAATAGAATTCCTATTCATCAAACTTAGTAAGGTCTTAAACCAATTAGAAACCTTAAAACCCCATCGTATAAAGAGAGGCCTCGTAGACGGACTCGGTTCAATAATTAAGAGCGTTACTGGTAATTTAGATAATTCAGATGCCGTGAAGTATGACAATGCAATTAAAATCCTTCAGCAAAATAGTAACGTTATTTTTCATGAATTTAACAATCACGTAAGTCTTAGTAAAGAGTGGATGGTCCAGCATTCTAATGTGTTAGAAGAGTTAGTCGAGAATCAAGTAAAAATAAATGAAACGTTACAATTAATTTTAGATAGAAATAGTTATAAAGATTCTAGCCTACTAAAATATGCTAAATTTGCTCAGTACCTTGCTATTTTAACTGAAAATATTGACGAAATATTCAGTGAGCTAACTAGAATTGAAAATATCATAGCTTTTATTCACGCTTCAACTTTACATCATTCCATGATTAGTATAGATATTTTAAACCATATGATTCAACGCTTAATTACTATCTACGGTAAGGAGCATGTGTTGCAATTAGAACTTAGGGAATACTATGACATAATTAAACCAGGATACTATTACTCTGATAATAGGATAGTCATAATTTTTAATATACCGCTATTTACTAAGGATAGTTACAATCTCTATAAATTATCCATGGCCCCCAATAAGTTTAAGCAGGCCCTCGTCCCTCCTTTTCCTTTAATAGCAACCAACAGAAAAGGTTATGTGTATATAGAGGCTGAATGCCCGAAGTTTAAGGACTGGTACCTCTGTGGAGAGACAATGGACCATCAGCTACGACAAGTCCCAGACTGTATCCAGAATCTTTTAATAAATCAAGCCATCGACAAGACCTGCGACGTTGTTACAATAACCCTATCAAGACCAGCTATGGAAGAATTAGACGAGAAACATTATATCCTGTCTTTCCCCAATGCCACGAGGATACACTACCTATGTGGCAAAGAAAATTACAACATTCTCAGCGGCACCTACTTAGCAACCGTCCCTATGAGCTGCTCCTTGGACACACCCGACTTTACAATCACCAATATTAACGACGTAGTTGAAGGACAACCGCTGAAAATAATGAAGCTGACAACCGACATTGAGGAACCGCTCAAAGGAAATTCTCAGATTCATCTTAATTCCATTGACTTGCGAAGGCTGCATGACACTAAGCACAGGGTGATAACGCAGCCAACTCTGGAAATAAAGCAAGCGTCGCCGGACTACACAGTATATCATACAACGATTCCGCTTTATATCATTCTATTAAGCGCACTCGCACTCACCATGCTGCTACTTATAAGACGAGGCGAAATATTCCGACGCAGATCTGAAAGATCACCCCCCAAAGACAAGATCTATGCAGTACCCGAGACATCTGAAAAGACCAAGCAGCATCCATCACTATTTTCTCAGAGAAGCCTTCAAAAATAAGTGATGATCTGAAGGGGGAGGTGTTATATCAAGCTCTCACTAGTAATTTGCAATAAGCGATGACCTCGATACAGCACCTGCTGCTGACACCGCTCACGCGTGCCGCCACCGGACGCAACGTGATCACCGCCGCTGACACAGCACCCCGATTGACGTCAATGCGCGTTTACCGCGATGCAACATTTTTATTTTATAAAATTAATTTAAGCATTCTGTATCTAGCATCGATCAGGCATAGACTTAAGTTTAATTGTAAAATTAGTTTTCATTAAATTTACTTAAATAAATTTGGTTTTTTTTGGGTCCTTCGGCTGTGGTTACCATAATTAACATCATAATCATTAGATGTATACAAGAAAAAAATCTGGAAAGTAGAAATTATCGACTTGGTGTCGAAAAAGTAACGACAAGGTTATTGGTTCCAAGTTCTTTACTTGAAATTTGTCGACATGATATTCTTGTTGTTCAAACAGAATAGTGAAGCTTAAACGCAAGAAAAAACCTTAGAGGTCATGTGTATTTATTTAGAATAATAAAAGCATAATATTTATTTTCTTTAAAAATCAATGATATTCCACAACAAATGTGAAAAAGAGACCAAGTTCGGTTCAGTACTCAGTTGCTTAAAGCTTAAGATGTATAGTTGCTATGCTATCACAGGACATGGCTCCTTTAATAAAAATTTGTTTACCATAGGTGTTACAGATAGTCCCCGATGCAGGGTGTATGAGGAAGAAATGGTGGTTCACGTGTCGCTGACATGTCCGGAGGTCGCTGCATACAGGGCTAAACATCTCGGCACGCCGGGATCACTCCCCGAAGCTGCTCGCAACATTAAAGGACTGTTGAACTTCTTCGGGGAGATTTCATGGCTCGAATAATTACATTATTCTTGCCCACACGCAAAATACGCGCTTAGACGTGGAATTTCGGAAAACAGCCCGTCGTAAACTAAACTAAGATCTATAGTTCAATGTTATCGGAACTGCTATGGAGTTTGGCGCCTTTTATAGGCGAAGCCGACAACCTCGAACGTCGTTTGCACCGAAATTGGCCCCTTTTTCACACTTATGTTTTTGGTGGGATACTAATTTGGCATTAAATTAAGTAAAATGTAATGTTATATAAAACTAGCTGATCCCGCAGCGTTGTTCTGCCCTTTCCAGTCGGTGGCGCTATTAGTTTTGCTCCGAATTTATTCCGGACATTTTAGTGTACACAGTTTGGCACTACAATAATATATGATATAGTCATTATATTTCATTAGTCCATAAATATAGAAGTTGTGTTAACAAACTACTTAACTTGAAACTTCACTATAGTTCCATCTGTCATCGTATGCATGTCGGATCGTAGCATGGTTATCAACTGAACGAAATATATTGGTAAATTGGTATTACAATCTATTTTAAGGTGTTTTTGTTTATTGCGGATTAAACCTCAAGCAGAAAATATTATCATGATTTATTACAGAATGCGTATATTTTTTATTAATATCATGTTCTTCTAAAGGTTCCGCCCTGACATATTTAGTCAAGTGATGGCAAATAACAAACATACATAATACTTAATTCTAGCTTACAATTAGTTAAACATAAATTTTACTTTGGCCTCCTTCCTCTACCGCCGCCGGCCTTAGCTTTCTTATTGGCTGCGTTTTTCTTTTCTTCTTCTGCCTTTCTTTTGGGATTCGGTGTGGTTGATAGCACCTGAAAATTAGATGAATTTAAATATCATCATTCGCCTATGGCAGTCCACCACAGCTAGACTGATTTTTAGCACAAAATGTTTGATCTGCCTTATTTAATTGATGGACGCAATTCAGCTAGGCAGCGTTCGGGAGATTAGCACATCTTCTCGTTACATATTCCTCAAAAGTTGAAAACATGAATGTACAATAAGTGTGTGTTGCTAGATGACATGTAGATTTGAGACGTGGTCCTTCACTACGGATTGTGTAAGGAAGCTCAACGCCACTCTGTGATCTATGGAGAATGCTATGATTGTAGTTTTTCTGGGTGATAGTTTTTGTAATGAGGAAATCCGCAGTAGAACCAGAGTAACCAAATATAGCCCAATGGATTAGTAAGCTGATGTGGCAATGGTCTAGCCATATAACTCAAAGAACCGACAACTTATGGGAAGAAAGGTTTTCAAATGGCAACCTCATACTAATAAGCAAAGTGTAGGGCCCTGCCCACTAGATGGAGTGACAATCTCGTAAGAGATGTCAATGGGGAAGTCAATGGACGCAGGTGGCTCAGGACCGTGCTTTGTGGCATTCCTAAGGGAGGCCTATGTTCAGCAGTGTGCTTGTGATAAGCTGTAATAATTATAATTTAATCACAGTTAGGCATTAACTGATTGTGTGGCTACATCAGTCCATGAAAACTTGCAGCTAACTTCTCAAACATAGAAATGAAATGAAATTCATTTAACATACATTACATTATAGTTACAGTTATTTTTGAGCTCTGAAGTCTGCATTAGTTAAGACTGTGCTACAGACCTCAGATCCCTATCCCATCCCATCCCATCTATTATCCCATCAATACAATACAAATACATACAATAGATTTCCCATCTATTATCTAAATATTATAATGTATATTAGTATTGTAAAGAAATATGTTAATTACAAAATAATATAAAAAGGTAATAATATGGTACTAATTTTATTGTAAGGCCAAGTTGCACGGTGTGTGTGTGTGTGTGTGAGATGTACTGACTCACAGTCAATAATCATACTAGCTCTTGGACCGAAACAGAGCAGTACAGGCACTGCTATTTGGCAAAGGAAAGAAGTAAGAGGGTGGAACTCCCAGATGGACTACTAGGAAGAAAAGGAGTCCAACCACCAAGTACCTGTACCTGTAAACACTAGGAATGAACACAAGCTAGTGATACCAGTTTCTCGACTCCACAGAGTCAGTAATTCATTCTTGGGGCAATGTATAAGCTGTTACCTTAAAGAAGCCATCTAGTCTCCCTTGCGTTGTACCGGTTCTCGCCTTAATGAGCTTTTTAGCTCCATTCCGCACGCGATCTTCGTTAAACTGCTTGTCACCACATAGGAATTTCACCAGGCCTTCCTCGTCGGGGTCTGTCCATTTCATCTGTTTAATCGATAATATTTGTTGTCATTAGCCAAAACAATCAAAATAAGGCAAAATCCCATTCAATCCTACCACTACTTAACTGAGACGCAGGAGTCGTCTCCAGCTGATACTTCGTGTAACTCGCAAAACCATCCCTACCATCTGGATGATTGACGGTCCATACTGTGCGATTTACCAGCAGTTTCTTTCCATGCACAACTTCCATGCGGAATTGGCTACAATCAGTGATTATTCTGGACTGAGGGATCTTCAGTACAAGAACCATTCCCCTGGTAAAGCTGCAGTTGTTCATGGGTGGCGGTAGTCACTTATCATCAGGTGAACCGCATGCTTGTTTGCCCCCTTATATAAAAAAATCATTACAACAGTCAGATTGGAGTTCACAGTTCCAGGCATCTTACAACTTTCTAGCTGCTATGTGTTGCCTGTTTGGAATTCTATAATGGAAAAAATACCAAATGGTTCCTCCATCTATTGCAGGCCATAAGACCTGGATATTTCCCTAGTCACCTCTTACGACATACGGGATAACTGGCTTAAGAGATGTATACCGTTGTCTAAAAGTCGGAAGCTATGAGATTTTTCTGGAATTTCCCACATTCGCTTCTGACGACACGCGCGGGTCGCAGTGAAGTGATGGATTCTCTTACGTCATCTTCTTTCCACCACACAGAAATGTTTTTATTAGTAATAATTTCTAAAGTTACCTACCTCAATATCTTTAGGATCCATAACCTCAGGCTCAAGGAACAGTCTCCTAGCATTTTCGAAGTCCCAGTTCTCTGGAGGCTGGTACTTGTTGGTGTCAATGTTACGGAGTACTTCCTCCATGGAGCGGTGTTGCTTTATCAGTTCGATAGCTCTCTTAGGTCCGATGCCACGGATGGAGCCGCAGTAGTCACAACCCAGAAGGATGCACAGGTCTATGAACTGCATCAAACTTATTAAACTAAGGTAAAATTAAATAAGCAACACAGCAATAATTTGATAGGTATACTACCTCATTCTGGTTGAGCTCGAGTCCATTTAGTACTTGGTCCAGATGAAACTCCTGTACGGGCATTTTGCGTGCCTCGGAAAATGTCAAGTGGCGCAAAAGTACATTAGCACCAAAAGTCAGAGCGTCCATATCTTCTGTGGCTGTTGCATACACTTTGCCAGCTTTAACCTGATTCAAAAAAAAATTGAAAAAAATACATACAAGTAATTGCTCACTTTACCCTGAGTTATATCAGCTTTGTTCTCTGTCGGCACCAATAAAATTGTAACCCTCAGGAGACACAGGTTTGCGCATTTACCGCTAAAAGGAAACCCTTTGTCATATTTATTCAATTTCAAGACACTCCCCTTGCTGCCTCAGTCAGCATCAGTATCCTCGACGCCGACATATCGAATGATGTGGAGTAGCATGGTTACTTGAAAGGGAAGGCTAAGTTGGCCTCTAAAAAGCTTGGCATGCTCAGTAGAGCAGGACAGTATTTCATGCCGGCACACAACATGCAACTTTACAAGTTGCAAGTTTGGTCTTACATAGAATACAGTTCTAATCTCTGGGTCGGGGCACTCCAGTGCCAACACCTTCCACTTGACCGCATCCAGCGCAGAGCGGCTCGAATCGTCGACAACCGAGTCTTCTCTGTTCGGATCGATTCACTGGCGCTGCAAAGGGATATTGCATCCCTTTGCATTTTCTATTGTATTTACCACTGAGAGTGCTCTTAAAAATTGTTCAGATTAATCCCAGCTGCCAACTTTCGCGAAAACACATCGCGACGAAACTCACGCTACACACCATCAGGATGCTTGGTGATCCACCACTGTGTGTTTTACTAGGAGTTTTCTTCCTCATACAACCTCTTTGTGGAATTGTTTACCACCAGTGATTTTTCCAAACCAATACAACTTAGGGACCTTCAAGCAAAGAGCTTACTCTTTTCTAAAAGGCTGACAACACACCTGTAATTCCCCTGGTGTTGCAGGGGGTTCATGGGTGGCAGTAGTCAGTTACCATCAGGTGAGACTCATGCCTGTTTGCCCCTACTTCTATGAAAAAAAAAGTAGTAAAGCCTCACTGCAGCTATATTATGGCTGCAGCAAAATTTGGTCAGCTCGACAGTTGTAAAACCACGCTGTTACAGAATACCAGCGTAAAACAGTAGAATATTGCTGCACTGCAGATAGGAAGTGTAAAGAACTGGAGACCCTGTTTACTGGTAACAAGGCATTCCATCTGAGACCCCAGGGATGATAACGCAACTGCATTTTGATTCTTAATCGAGAATAGGTGTCAATATCTATGGGCCACAATATCTGCTAACCATCAGGCGGACTGTGTGCTCGCTTATCACCCTTATTCTATGAAAAGCGATACTAACCAAGGCAGCACACTGTGCTTCTGCTTCACAAGGTGCTTCAACAACAGGTATACCCATCAATTTGAGCAGTTCCCTAGCCTCTTCACTATGCTGTTTCGTAACCTTCACAAGACGCCGATTAAACTTTTCAATGGAAGCTTGGTCACCTGAGAAATGCAATACAAGAAAATAAATTGTATTCAACATAGATTATTAATAGGTATAATCATTATTTATTGAAAGTCAATTTACTATTAACAAGGTCCCATAAATAACAGACCGTATTACACACTAGTGAGAATAGATGCCAACACTAAATGTAACACACTAAAATTGACAATAAATAGTAATATGCTATCTAGTGCTGTTGGTCGGTACTTTATGCACTGGTTGTTCTCATGACTTACTTTCCTCAATTCTTTAGCATCTATGAGGGTCAGAAAGAAGAAATTGATAACCTTAATTTTATCTATACAAATAAATAAAATTGAAGTGTCTGTTTGTAATGTCAAAATACCAGCATTTTACTAAATACATATGAAAGTATATACGATACTTATAGCAAAAACACAATTTTTTTTAATTTTTGTCAGTCTGTCGGTCTGTCTGTCTGTTTGTTCCGGCTAATCTCCGAAACGACTGGACAGATTTCGACGGGACTTTCACTGTCAGATAGCTGATATTATAAGGAGTAACTTAGGCTACTTATATTTTATAAAAATAATTAGGATTCCGTGCAACATAATTAAACCCCTAAATTAAATGCGGGCGAAGTCACGGAGAACAGGTAGTCTTTATATATTAAAATTACGTGTCACATTGTTTGTCCGCGATGAACTCTTAAACTACTGAACTGATTTTAATGAAATTCTTCACACTCTGTGCAGTTTTTTGGTCCAACTTGAGAGATAGGATAGTTTTTATCCTGATAAGTGACATTCAATATTCTTTTATTACGAATTGAAGGTTTTTTTATATGAAGGGTCGTCGAAAAGGGCAGAACAACGTCTGCCTGGCCAGCTAGTAATCTATAAAAACAATTCACCTGCATCAGTAGCCTTTTGCAATTCTTTCTCAGCCTCTTCTCTCCTCTCTGCACGTTTGTTGAGCTGATGGGACTTCATGTCTGGAGGTTTCCCATCAAAAACATACACAGGCTTAATGCCATTCTCGACTAGCCTGATTGTTCGGTAAAAGGTGCCCATTAAATGTGAAGTGGTCTCACCATCAACTGATGTTAACTGTGCACCTATAATACAATTTTATATTTATAATCTATTATTTATCAGCTTAGATTAGTGGTAAAGATTTTTATATGAAATTGAAGGTGGACTGTAACCTGATGGTAAGTGACTACTGACACATGAAACCATCCTCTCTTAAAATTGAATGCCTCACAGCCTACAGTTATATTAGCTCTCTGTATCCTTCAGACAAGTTTCTCACTTTCAAGTTTCTACACATTTCAACAAAAAGCAAAACTATTTAACACACGCATCCTGCCTGTATTGGCATACAGAAGTGAAACAGGGGCTTTAACAAGAAACATATCAAACAATCTCTCCATATACCAACATGCCATGGAAAGGAGTATAGTAGGGATCAAAAGAATGGACAGAAATAAGAAATAGCAGCATCAGAAACAAAACTAAGGTCCAGGATATAACTCTAAAAATAAGAAGACAAAAATGGAAATATACAGGCCACTTGATCAGAGGAAAAGACAAATGGAGCAAAATAATAACACAATGGCACCCAAAGGATGGAAAAAGAAGGAGCGGTAGACCACAGAGAAGGTGGGTTGACGATATTAGACAAGTCGCAGGAATTACATAGGGTAGAGTGGGCATAGAAAGGCCAGAATGGAGAAGATTGGAGGAGGCCTTTGCCACCTAGCAAACGGACACACAAAAATGAAACAAAAGAAAAATATATGAATAACAAAGAAATACTATTTTTGTCCGATTAAAGGCTTTTTATTGTTATTATTATTATTACCCTTCAGACCTGAATTCAGCATTACAGGTACTGTTGCTTGGCGGCAATTGTAGGTAAGAGGGTGTTGTTGTGTAGGAACTTCTAGGGGGGGAGGAGTCCTATCACAAGTAAAAAGAAAATTAATGCCACTATGTTAATGAAGATACTTGTTAGCATTAAACCTTCAACACCATTGATAGGAAATATCATCCTTAGATGGATTTATCTAGTATGGGGCATGAATTAGCACATTTAGACTCGATTTTTATTAAATCTGCTCTACTCTTTCCACTCCTGAAGGTTAACACAACATTAATATGGTTTTATATGCAAACGTACCTTCGCTTCTAACTGCTATCAAGAATTGGTATAAGCTCATAGATGCATCAATAGCCACCTTGCGACCTGTAAATAATAAAATTTGTGATGTTTTCACAGTTTATAACTTTACGAAACAATGACGAATTTTTAATATTACTATATACCAAAGTAATTTTTAATTTCCATTTCTTTCACAGCTTGAGGTGCTATATCCGCAATTAATTTCGACAAGCCCAAAATACCCATTTTAATAAATTGTTTAGTAATTTACGATAAAACGTTCAATTTACAGTTTGGCGCGAAAAGCGAATCTTGACATTGACAGTATATAAAAAGTACTCTGTGATTGACATTTTGATGGACTGCGGCAGCGGCAGCATACCATAATGTCATGTTGTTTGTTTGTTGTTAGGGAGTGGGCGATACAAAACGTATATCGTTATTGAATCTATATATTGTTTCAATATCGTATATCCGATATCGGTCTAACCAAAAACTATATATCGGACGAAACACTATATTGCTTGTGCCCGATAGCCGATCGCGTTTTGCGACGATATTGTATTGCAGTGGTATCGAAATCCGAAGTTATACCGTATATACAGTATGACGAATGAATACCGAGCAGACTCGATCGCCGCCGACGCTCCAGCAGGGCTATTCACAATCGTCTCGGAAAGCGAAATCGACTCGGATTCGATAACTTCTCGCACCGAAACCAATAAACGCTATTAACATTTAACGTTCGGATAAAGGTCACTTAGATACATCCTATAACTATTGTATCGTCATTTAGTTACATGCATTTACGAATTTTGTAGATAAATAGGCTTTTGTAATTTTTTAGAGTAACGCCTGCACAAAAACATAATGCAATATTTTGGAGTTATCCATTGATATCGAATATAAAAAATATATAATTTAACTATATAATAAATAACAAAAAACTGAGATATGTCTCGTTTCTTTCGGGTCTGGGTTTTTTTCTATGGGGCGTTCTTTGACGTTTGTTTTCGATAATTGTGACAGTTTGCATCGGAAACTTTACGAGAGCTCTGAGGCTGGCGAAAACTTTTCGAATATTGATGATTAGAAGAGATAAATAAACCCTTTTAATTATAAGGTAGGTAACAAAAATTAATTACAATTATCTATAAGACGTATTTTCATATAATTACTTCAATATTTGCACTTAATCGTAAAGCTGAATTTTTGTGAAAGGTGTGTTTTTATAAGTTTTCTATCACAAATATATATATATATATGCTGCTTTGTGAAACGAGACATATCTCAGTTTTTTTGTTATTTATTATATAGTTAAATTATATATTTTTTATATTCGATATCAATGGCTAACACCAAAATATTGCATTATGTTTTTGTTTAGGCGTTACTCTAAAAAAATACAAAACACCTATTTATCTACAAAATTTGTAAATGCATGTAACTAAATGACGATACAATAGTTATGGGATGTATCTAAGTGACCTTTATCCGAACGTTAAATGTGAATAACGTTTATTGGTTTCGGTGCGAGAAGTTATCGAATCCGAGTCGAATTCGCTTTCCGAGACGATTGTGAATAGCCCGGCAGGTTAGATACCAAAGTAGAGAGGGAGTGCGCGATTAATGAAACTGAAATAGCTACACAATCTCTCTCTCACAAGTCTGTTAGAAGGTTTCTCTTAGTATTTTGACGCGATTGTTTTATAAAATTTTATAAATCTGTGTGACGTAAAAAGTGGCCAAATTGTTAAAATTTGGCCTTGAACTTAAGAACAAAGAAATTAGGAGCGAATATTTAAGTATTTTTGAAAAATTTGAAGCAAATGGACTGATAAATACGCCTGCATTATTATAGAGAGACGGTATATACGTACGTACATAGCCGAGTATCGAGTCAGTATCCACTTTTTCAAAAACCGTCGCGAACCCGGTATCGAAATAACTGCATATACGGCATAATATCGTCAATATATAGTTTCAGAAAATATAGTGTTTCGAAATCCGATATCAAATATTAATATATAGTTTCGATATGATATTCAGAAATTACGATATTACCACTCTTGTTACCATAGATTACTGTACGTATACTAGAGATCGTAGACAGAGAAATATAGATATATCTGTCATAGACTTAGGATATACTGGCGTATAGACGACCTGACAACCCGAAAACGCGTGACCAATTTTGATTTGTTATTGTGTGAGTTTGCTAGTGATGTACATTTTACTTAAAAGGGCTATCGAAAAATTATTGTTCAGAAACCGGTATAACGACTAAAAAATTGTTTGGTGCACAAAACTGAATAACTTTTGTGCACTAAACTATTTTATTAAAAAAATAACTGAATTTTTACCATGATAGTTTTAAAATAACTAAAAATAATCAAATAACATGTTACCGGGAATAAGCTGCACCCACCTGCCTTTTCCATTATCCATAATCCATTACAGCCTATAAAAATCCACTGCTCAACATGGGGCTCATTATAAATTTCCTCATTTTTTTTTTATAGGGATATTTGCCATCGCTTGGCCAGCGGGTTGTCAACCACAGTTTTTTTTATTATTTCGAGTTGTTTTCAGGAAGATGCTGCTGCACATCGCCTCTTTCAGTTTCCCTTTGTCGCCTTTTATGACACAAATGGGACGATATTGAGTAGTGAAAATTGTTTCACCGGCACCGCTTGCCTTTTGTTGGACTTTAATTCAAAATGTACAAAATTGCAATAATATTTGAAGAGGCGAGGAAGTCTACCGATAAAATGAAACAATTTTATCCAAGAATCAGATCGGATAGTTATATTTTTAACCTTTGGAGAAAAATATTTAATGCCATACAATACAATTTCCCCGGAATTTATTTCTTTTTCAACAGAATGTTAATCAAATATAAATAGGTAGATACATAATTAAGTATCCACCTATTTATATTTTATAAAATGTTTTGTCTGGTAAAATAAAAAACGAGGACACGCATTATATAATGGCTATATACCTAGTAGGAAAGTAGGGCAAAAAAGTTGTATTTTTTTATCAAAACACGAATAACGTGTATTATAGATTGTGTATGTGCTTTTTTGGTCTTAAAACAACTAACGTTCTTGTTGATATTACCTTAGAGTGGCTGTTTTAAGGTAGATAAACAGAATAATCCTGAATACTAATTTCTGTTCAGATATATGTGTCTGTCTGGGCTGCTGAAGTGCTAGGGTACAATCATAGATAATATAATTTGTTATAATATGGTACATTACAGTTGTTACAAAAGAATTCGCATCCTAAATATTCTGCCGTTTCCGGCGTACACATATTTTCATATAACAGGTCCTCAGGGTGTCAGAGTATGCTTTGAGCCTTGACAGACATTTAAAGCCTGTATAATGTCATAACAAAGGTTAACAGTCCTATGAATTATAGAAAGTGAAACATTAGGACATCATGTTTCGGATACTTAAGGCAATAAATAAAACAGCTTAATTTTTTAATTTTTTATTTATCCTACTTCAAAACCCTCTTTTACTAAAATGCCATCCAGAATTGAGGCCGGTGCGGTTATGGAATTTTGATACAGAGCCGAACCCAAATACCAGACAACGGTCATTATGTGGGCACAGCAACCCAATATCTGTTGTCTCTGTTGTAATATAAGTGCAACTGCAATAATAAACTGCCATCATCTCATCTCTTGTCCTTGTCCCTTGTCTCGCCAACAGTATATATGTATAATAAGCTCTGCCCGAGTGATGGCGAGATTTTATACGCCCTTTTATTCTTCTTCTTCTTGTTGGGATGATATTAATTGAGTCACCACTTGTCTGCTACCCAATCTTCGTTGACATCAAACATACAATATACTGATAGTATTGGCATTAGGGCGCTGGAGCCCATTTTCAAGATTTGTGCCGACAGATAATTCTTGTAATACGTTTGCAAAACATTGTAAACATATTGGTGCATCTTCATCCATCTAGAACAAAACAATTTTATTTTAATAAAGTATCTATATTGCAGAAGCGCATTTTAAACAGTGCAACATGTTTTAACAGGTGAACTGAAAGATAATTACATCATATTAAGATTTTGCAGCCATTATGAACTTATGTAGAAATTAATAATTATTAACAGACTACAGATAGAAGCATGTCATTCAAATGCGTTTAATAGCTTAAGGAAACATCTTTCTTTAGTACATTCCTGCTTACTGATTCAAAATGTGATTCTACAAAATACAGATGTACGATATCAACGAGATCAAAATCTCATGTAAATCATTAAGTCCATAAAACAAAAGCAGAGTCAAACAAGTAGTAACCGATCCAAAGTCCAAACAAAAATCCAAATCACCAAAGAAATCCACAACTAAACACATTCACGAGTTCAGAACTGTACAACCAAGCTCGGAATAAATAAAAATATCATTTGACAGAAATGACATTTGACAAATAACCGTGTCTTTTTTACTTTTTTATGACTGGAAGGGCACCATCTTGTAAAACCATCAAAAACTTGGGATTGAATTTTTATTTTTAGCAAGTTATTTAGTTTGATTTATTCTCTCATTTTATTTTTAACCAAATCCTGAATTTTTCTCTTTTTTACGGTATACTCTACATAGACTGGGCCAGAAATGGACCGTCTCCTTTATTATGACAAAGGTTTTTGAATTTTGTCAAGATTTCCGTGTAGATTGGTAAAATATTGAATTCCATTCCTTGCGCTATAGCGGCTTTTGCTAATAAGTCAGCCTCTTCGTTTCCCTTTAAACCTATATGCGATGGAACCCATTGCAATTTTATATTTATATAGCGACTACTGTAATTATATAGTTGATTTAATATCCCATAAGCTATCGGTGCACCTCTGCTATGACCAGAGGCGCATCGAGCTAAATGTTGTAAAGCGCTTTTGATATCTGAAAAATAACAAAATACTTAAATTGCTAATATATTTCAAAGCTTCAGATATTGCAACGAGTTCCATCGTCATTATCGATAGTCTTAGTTCTGTTCTAAACATAGCTGTAATTGTTAAATAATTGTTAATAGTTGAACATCTTTAAAACTTGTTATGCATGTGTAAACTGTGAGTTACGTAATCGCAACATATTAAACCTCTGCTTTGTTTGTGTTTGTACCTCAATGTTTTTAGTTTTCAATAAAGCTCGTTTGCATGTTAGATTACAGATAAATAAATAATTAATTAATTCGCTGAGTACCGGGACAAACTTGTGTCTGAAGTCGAGTCTTTGCTTAACAAAGTCTCGGATTGGGGCCGACTAAATCTAGTCCAGTTCAATCCCCAGAAGACAAAAGTTTGCGCGTTTACCGATAAAAAGAACCCCTTTGTCGTATTTCCTCAGTTTCAAGGCACTCCCCTTGCTGCCTCAGCTAGTATCGGAATCCTTGGCGTCGACATATCGAATAGTGTGCAGTTTCGTGGTCACTTGGAAGGGAAGGCCAAATTGGCCTCTAAAAAGCTTGGCGTGCTCAGCAGAGCGAGACAGTATTTCATGCCGGCACATCGCTTGCAACTTTACAAAGCGCAAGTTCGGCCCCACATGGAATACTGTTCTCATCTCTGGGTCGGGGCACCCCAGTGCCAGCTCCTTCTACTTGACCGCTTCCAGCGCAGAGCGGTTCGAATCGTCGACGACCGAGTTCTTTCTGATCGGCTCGATACACTGGCACTGCGTAGAGATGTGGCATCTCGTTGCGTATTTTATCGCATCTATCACGGGGAGTGCTCTGAGGAATTGTTCGGACTAATTCCAGCCGCCCAATTTCACCATCGCATATCTCGACAAAACTTGCGTTACCATCCATACCATCTGGATGATTGGCGGTCCAGCACTGCGATTTAGAAGAAGTTTTCTCCCTCGCACAACTTCCTTGTGGAATCAATTACCACCAGCGAATTTTCCGGACCGATACGACTTAGGAACCTTCAAGAAAAGAGCTTATACCTTTCTAAAAGGCCGGCAACGCATCTGCAATTCCCCTGGTGTTGCAGTCGTTCATGGGCGACGGTAGTCACTTACCATCAGGTGAGCCGCATGCTCGTTTGCCCCCTCTTCTATAAAAAAAATGCAAACTAATAACCTATAAATGTATAATTCTTCTGTCCATGTGCATGTGACATTTTGTATGTGTAATTAAGTTGATTCGAGAATGGTTTAGATTCACAATTGGACCCGGTACTTGGCGCTTTGTAGAGATCCAGAAATAACCCGTGCGTAGCCGGGCCAGATCGCTAGTACTTAAGAAGCTGCTCAATATGGTTATTTTTATTTAAATAATATATGTGATAATTTTTAAACCGCTTATTTTAGTGTTTAAGAGTATATTTTATTTCATATACTAATTGACTATAAATATAAAGTAACTAAAATTACAGCAAACAATATTTAACCATCACACTTTTAAACAAATTAACATCCCCCGCTATGAAATCTGTCAAATATTTAATCTAATTCTAAAGTTTCGCCGCCACGGTGACAGAAAAAGTCGTGGAAACTATATATACTTTTAGAATATACTTCCGCCAGTATATTCTAAAAGTATATATAGTATATTATACGTCTAACGATACGTGTATACCAAAATCGATTTTGTCGGCCGATGGCGGACAAAACTACCCAGACGAGTAAAGCTTCGTTCAGATCTACAGACATTGAGCGTGTCCGTGGCGATATTCACATCTAGCGCACGCAAGCAGAGCGTGTCCGCACAGACACGGGCCGGCACTGGCTAGCATTCTCATCAAGAATGTTTTGTCTGTGCTGGTGCGTGTCTGCGGGTGTTTAAAATACATTTTGGTATGATATGTGTGATCGCAGATACAGTGACAACCAAAAAAAAATGATTGCGCATGGAGAGAAGTAGCAGAAAAACTTCAAGTTTCATGTAAGAAGTATTTTATTTATGAAAAATCTTGTAAGCATCACTTTATAGTTTACCTGATGACGTCTGTTTATGCCGCACCCAGCATCCGGTAAGATGTGAAAACTGTTGTCGGTGCTACGTTACGTGCTGGGCACGCTACATGCTGGTAGATCTGATCGAAGCTTAACTCGGACATGTATGTGCTTACACTGCAACAGTGTAGTACGTGTGCCGACATTGAACGTTGCCAGTATTCTGTAGTTGACTGTGTTGCTTAACAGAGTGAAGACACATTTTTTTAAATATCTGTAACCGCTATATACATTTCCGATCCAACTTCAGCCCATAACCGTTTCGAAACCTCTCGATTATTGTAATTGTCTATTATAAACACTTAATTTTTCATCATCCATAGTCGTTTAGGCAAATAACAACACTGACAAAAACAACAGAAAAAAGACAAAATGATTAAATTAAACTATAGTGTATTTAACACTCAATTTGCACTGTAGACGCCGTCAATCTGGCGAGAAACCCCAACAAGTTTGGACTCAACGGTTGATCGGGCGATTTCGTGCGTCATCGGACGATGACGGTCGCGTTTATGTACGCACTCTGTTTCTTCTACACGTGTTTGATTCGATTGACCGAGTACGGCCGTCATTGCCCGAGCAAACTTCCGCCGTTGACGGATTAGGTGTACGCGTACCCTAAGGAGTCTACCGCAGACTAAATGTAGTGATTATATTCTCTTTGCCGCAGACGAACAGCTCCTTTCATTCGTCGCTGACATTAGTGAGGTACTAAATTGGGTCCGTCATTCAAAATATTCGAACGATTTATGTAATCGAATTCTTATGAAATCATTCATAGTGGCGCACTACTAGCAGAAAGAAAGAAAAGTATAAAAATTATTATACTCGGGACCACAGACCTACTACATGCTCGGGACTTGCTTGGGGACGCTTTCATCAAGCAGATCATCGTTAGTATCAGTATGTTAGCATCATACAGGTATATAAAAGTACTCTGTGGTTAGTATTTTCGGGTGTATATGATCTAAAGTACTCTGTAGTTAGTATCACAGAGTACCTTTAGTTAGTATTTTCAGTATATATAAAAGTACTCTGTGGTTAGTATCTCTAGTCACTCTGTGTAGACCGCCTGTGTTCATGTTTAAGGAAATCTTTTTTATAAAATAAACTAATAAATTCGTATTTATAATTATACCTAGTGTTTTGTTTTAGCTTTTAAACTTATTTTACTGTATTAAAGATGGGTGGATTAATATCGATTAACTTAGAAGAAAATTATAAAAAAAATGAAAAATTTCTGCAAAGCCTCAATGAGATTGCGGTAGGTAAAAAATATGTAACAATATTTAAATAAAATCAAATGATGTTAACTCAATTGGTTTTTAGATGGAAAGGCAAATTCAACTACAGTATCAAATGCAAGAAAGACAAAGAGCGCTCCAAATTGCTAGAAGTCGGGATATTTTTCTTTGGTTTTCTGCATTTAACATAACTGCCGCTACAGGTTTGCTCACTGGGTAAGATCCAAGCAATATTAAGAATATTATGTTTTGTAACTACGATCTATTTTAATACAAGTGGCTAATTTAGATCATAAATAATATGTCCGTAACTAATGGCGAGAAACTGTAAACATGTAGTTCAGCTACATGTTTACAGTTTCTCGTGTCAGCGAAATTCAGTAAATTTTGTAATGATAGAGGTTTTGGTTAGAATTCGAACCTAAGACGGAAATACAGTCGGCAGATACGATGATCGTTGAGCCATATGGTAGTAGATGTTAGAATAATGGCATTCATACCTCCTAATATTTGCTCAGGCCTACGCATATTTCTGAAATAGTAACATAGCAGAAAATATCACTGTTTTAATACTGAATGGTTGACTATGTCTAATTAGTGGAGCGACTCCTTGTCTACTGACTTCAAAAAGGAGGAGGTACTCAATTCGACTGTATGTTTTTTTATGTGTGCTACCTCATAGCTTTTTTCTGGGACAACGAGATCGTGTGAGTAGTTTTGTATAGGTACATATGGGTAGTCTCTTACCTGCCACCAAATATTAGTGTTTGGTGCGCTGTGTGCCGGTCTGAAGGGTATATATATATTTATATATATATATATATATATATATATATATATACTTTAAAAATAGAGAACCAGTACAATTACAGGCTGTGGTCGATTAAAATTGAACTTGTAGTAGCTCTCCATTTGCCTCCTTATTAAAGATTTTTAAATTCAAATGAAGTAATTTTTTCGGGTAGTATCCTGCATGAGATACTTATTCTTAGATCGTAGAGGATATTTTTTTGGATTTTGGTTTCAATTTTCTAGATGTTATTCAATTCTTGTTTCAATTGCATTTTTTGTTTTAAATGCTGATTAAAATTTAATAGATACATTACAAGCAGAATTGTTTTAAAAAAATACGTTACAATTAAATAAATATTACATAGTATATTATTACAATTTTCTAAATATGTATAAAGCTTTAATATACTGACAAAGATTTTTGTCACAGTTTCAGAAGAACAAAACGACCTTATCTTCTGGCACCTTTGGTGCCTCTAATGTTTGTAAACCTATATTATTGGGATCTTGCATATGGAAACAAAGTGCACCGAATTAGAAGTAAGCAGTTTGTAAACTGTGAAAAAATCTGTTCAATTGTGATCAAAATCATCGCGCTTAGTACAAAAGTGTTATTTTATTATTACAGTGGAAGCTGAGCACATTATGTCCCATGAGTCCGATATGCTTGAATTGCCATGTGGTCTACCTACACCGTCATCAGTTGACCAGGGACGATTGGATGCTGAAGAAAAGAAAAAAATTCATCCTCCCCTACCTTAAATTGATTTATTAATAAATCAATTGCTGTTCTATGTGCCTATTGTTATGATACATTAGTTGAAAATAATTTATAAATGCATACTTTATGGGTTAGGTTTTAAATGTGATACTATTTATATAATATTTGTCGTTATATTTAACGGTTTCGTTTTAATTGTTATTGAATAACTTAGTCCAATATTTTCTAAACATAAATCAAATTCTACTTTGTTCATTTGGAATTTGATATACTTAAACCAATCTTACTATAACGACTTAAACGTTCTTAAAGTTAAGATAATATTGTTTATAGTTATATATAGGAGATATTTATAATAGTTGGCTCATAAAATGTAATGTAGGTTATTGAATAAAGCTTATTTGTCTGAATATATCAATTGTTCAAATATGTTACGTTAACTGTGTATAGAAATTTAAAATATTTACATTAAGAATGAAACATTAGTCATTTTAGCAGTTCTATTCATATTATTATTACATAAAATTGTCGCAAGTAGATAGATTACTGAAGAAAAAAAAAAGAAAAAGTAAAGTTACAGGCTATATACATACATAATATATGCTCCACAGCTGGGTATAGGCCTTCTCTTATTTTTGAAAGGGATTTTGGGGCAAGAAAATGTGCCTTAAGCCCCCTAATGCGAGATAGCGGGCTTTACATGTTTTTGAATTTATTCCCCGAACGTAGATGTTTCCTCACGATGTTTTGCTGGTGAAGCAAAACATCGTGAGGAAACACGCACCAAGCACGTGGTAAATCAGTATTAAAAAACAATCAATAAATTCATTGGGGCCTGTGGGGAACGAATCTCTCTCGGGTTACTCGCTTACTGTGAAGTTTGCGAAACGGAGTTACCGGTAGTTATATCTATATTTGAATTCCACTAAAATTATCGTATTACTTAACCCTTTAATTATCACTATTTACGATACGCACATTAAAGGTGAAGTGTATTGATATTTCAAGTTATTCCTATTAAATAAATAAGTTTGAAATGTTTTTATTAAGGTTAATTATAAATATTCATAAACAGTATTTATCGACAAATAACATTGGATTTTTTATAGTACTTAAGCTTAAATAAAATTCATTTTGAAAATCAATCGTTAAAATTATTTTATATCATCACCAAACTCATTTCGCTGTGTAATGTCGGCGTAAGAATATCCTCGGTATATACAAATGTAATCTGTGGAATAACCACTACTTCATATTATACCGTGGATCTCATAAGGGGCGAAGGGTTAGAAAATGAAATAGAAAATGGGTAGCAGCATCTTTTCGATGACTACCGAAAATAATAAAAAACTGCGCTTGCCATGCCTCCTGTCAAGCTTGGCAACTATGGCAAAATCCATCCTAAGGGGCAATCTATGCGAAGGTCCATGCTCAGCAGTGTACTTTTGAATGGTCGCATTAGGAAAATTAATTATTTTGTATTTTTTATTAATTCTTACGTGCTGAAAAGGGATTGCACTAGGTACTTATGTATTAAAAAAAAACAATAAGTTAACACCATTAAATTTTTTAAAAGATTGAAAAGATTGTCTGAAATCAATAATAATTGACCTCAATCTTTTATAATAGTGTAAAAATCGATTAATTACTACTCTATTCTAATAAGCAAAAAATAGAGTTGACAAGGCGGTTGCCATGGTAACTTTGATAGTTGTGTTTGAAAACGTAAACAAATGAATGTTTGAAATGAAATTGATAGAACGCGAATTTATACAACATGTTTTGCCTTTTACTACAATAAATAATTTCAGCTCTGTAATTTAAAAAAACAATGGCAACGGTGGAATTATTCAGTTTTGTATGTATGTATTTACACATGAGCATTATTAATTTTTGGAAAAATTATGACTTCTAATTGAAAAATAATAACTTCCGAATTCATAAAAGGACATCGATCACGGTTGCTTAGTGTGCCGATATAATCAATATTATTTAAATGACTGTTGTCAAGCACTTATCTGTTATTCAAATTAGCTTGTACTAATTCTACCTAATTTAAATTCGTATGTCTCGGTATAGTGTTCTGTATTTTATGTACCCTTTCTTTAACTTGCAATATTGGATTTTAGAACTGATAGACGTGTTCGTGCTTATAAAATGAATTCGTATCAAAATATTAAAAAGGAAGATCAGAAAACGAAAGAATGTCAAAAGCAGGCCCAGAAGAAGAGTCCCGAGAAAAATATGTCGGAAATCGACGAGCATATACTAAAAAGATTTGAAATAAAGAAGAGACTAGGCAAAGGAGCTTATGGTATAGTTTGGAAAGCAGTTGATAAGAAGACAAAGGATGTGGTGGCCATCAAAAAGATATTTGATGCATTCCGGAATCAAACAGATGCTCAAAGAACTTTTAGAGAAATTATATTTTTGCAGTCATTTCGCAACCATCCTAATATTGTTAAATTGCATAGTATACACAGGCAAGTAATATTTTAGACATGCAGCACTCATCCAGGCTCTTGAGTTTGAGTGTATTTCAGAGCATTATCTTCAACCCCAAGTCCATACAAAACTAGTATTGTAATTTCCTTGGGAATTATAAAAAAATAAACAGTCATGTTTGTTTAATATCATAAGAGTGATAAATATATTTTCAGTCCACCTGATGGTAAGTGGCTACTATGAAACATGGTCAGCAGTGGAGCCATTGGCCAGATCTGCTGGGGCAGAGAAAGTACCTATTACTTGTTTTTGGTCTCGTGACATGTTTGCGGCTGACTCTTTAGTGTCCTTTGAACAGGTTGAGTTCAATGCCATTTAGGAAGGTGCGTCTTGTGTCTCACATAAAAAGATCACCAAAGGGCAGCTGGTGCTAGTGGTGTTACATGTCTGTGATTGTTGTGGCACATGGAGACATGAACAACAACTTCAATTAGGACACACACACTATTGAATTTGAGGATTGGATTGGCCCATTCATTCATAATAGCCTGTCAAAAGTCCACTGCTGAACATAGGCCTCCCCCCATAGATTGCCTCATAGGAGAGTTTTGGACATATATGCCACACTCGGCAGGCATGTTGGCAACTGCAATTTATTTATGATTTTGTGTTGTTACTAGGGAGACGCCGTTACTTTCTCTTGTTTGATTTCCCTCTGTCGACTCATACAACACCCATAAGATGATTTGGGATAGTGGAGTATTGTATGCCACCACTATATAGCAACTAGTCAATACAGGTCCAAAGCCTTTAATTAATTGGCTCTCTTCATTTACCACGTACTATCCATATAGAAAATCCTAGTGTGGGGGTAATGTTTTAAAAAACCCTTCTTAGATGGGCTACTAAGGAAAAAAGAACACTAACAGCTAACAAAGTACTCATCGTATTATATGTAGTAGTTGTATTGACATTGTTATATATTGTGTTTGAGAAATTTTGTAATTTATTTATTTATATATTTTATGTACATATGCTTGCGTGTATAATTTGTACATAATTATTATTACATACCATCACAAGTCCCCTGCTAAACTTAGGCCTCCCCCAAGTAAAGTGTTGTTGTTTTTTTTTAAATAAAATTATTAATAAAAGTTTATCAGTTTCTAGAGTATTAAATTAATACACAAAACAATGCACCCGTGGTTTACTCTTTAATATTTTTGCACATTTTTAACTTTTGTTTTAACATTTCTACTTTTATGAATATCTGTGGTATGGTTTATTTATTTTAATCTTATTAATATAAAATATAGCTAATAGTGCACAAAGAAACAATAACCTTTATATTTTCCAATCAAATTAACTTCCCCGCTATGAAATCTGTCAAATATTATACCTCGCTTTCTAGTGGCGCCGCCCTGGTGGCAGAAAAGCCGTGGATGCCCTCACTGGCTCTTCTGGCATCTTCAATATATCACCAATTTGGTCGATAAATTTTCGACGTGTCCCTTCCGGACTCTGCAATTCAATTTTTCATTAATGTTGTCTAGTACCTTGATACTAGTAATAATACAGCCTTTTAAGGCTTGTATTAAAACTTCATAAATATACTGGGACTTTTCTAGTTCGGCGGCTCTATATCATTGATACAGTGAATACTAAAATAGATATGCCCAGAGCCGAATTTAGGCCTTTATATAAATAATTCATATAAATAACCTTCATGCCGTGGTAGCTCAGATGGTTAGCGCTCGCTGTAAGTTTCACAGTACGCGAGCAACCCGGGTTCGATCCCCGCCGGCACCAATGAAATTGTTAATTACAATTTTAAGTGCTGATTTACCATGTGCTCGGCGGTGAAGGAAAATATCGTGAGGAAAACTGCATGTCGGAGAAATAAGAAAAAAAATATTTCGAAGACATGTGAAGTTCGCCAACACATTGGGGCAGCGCGGCGGACATTTCCTTGCCCTAAAAAAACCCTCTCAGAAATGAGAAGAGGCTTGTGCCCAGCAGTGGAACGTAACGTAGTCTGTAATTTTTTTAAACCTTTATATAAATATAAACGTTCTAATAATTATACCTAATGACGAAATTATTCTAAAAATATTTATAATAGGGTATTTTACACCGTGTAAAAACAATCAAAAATATATATTTATGATAGATTGTGTAAAAAGTAAACGAGAAATATTGATTTCTATATATAAAAATTCAATATAAATTTTATATTTCAATTTTAAGAATTTTTTTTTGTCTGTGCCTCAAATCTGCAAAATGCTCTCCGCCATATTAGATACCGTCGTGACGTCACTGGTTAAGTAAACTAGCTATCTAGCGAATGTGCTGTGTGTTATTCTGAAATTTTTCAAGTCATGGTCTAAGAGCCAGTGAGCGGCAGACTTACGGTATTTCAATAAGCTTCAGGTTTTTTTTTTTCAGTTAATCCCCTATACTTGAGGTACATGAAATGGGGACTCTTTTAGTTTTTTTTTTCGTAGGGCTTCGAGGTCACCGAACCCTAGGTAGATCCTTCCCTTGGGCGCGAAAACGCCAAGATCCAACAACGCCGAATTCAAACGGCTTCCACGATCGGTCCACAAAGTTGGACTGTGAGGAGAATCCGGGTAGTGGGGGTTTCCCCGAGGCCCGAAACCTGCTGTGCAAACTAAGCACACGCACAAGACAACGTAGGAACTCTTACCCCTCTGGGTAACAGGCGTGAGAATTTATGAATTTAACCTGAAGTCATCAATTTAGACGTAAGTTATTTGAATTGTAGGGCATTGAATAACCGCGACATCTACCTCGGCTTCGAGTACATGGAAACGGATCTGCACAACGTGATAAAACGCGGGAACATCCTCAAGGACATACACAAGCGCTACATCATGTACCAGATGCTGAAGGCGACCAAGTATATCCACTCGGGGAACGTTATACACAGGGACCAGAAACCGAGCAATGTCCTCATAGACAGCGCTTGCAGGTTAGAAATAAAGTGAAAGGGTTGTTACGGATGTTGTGGTGACGTTAAAGAGATATTACACTGTCTTTGCGCATTAGGTGTCATAATACTCGACAAGATATATGTTGTCCATTTGGACATATATCCTGTCGAGTCTTGTCTTTAAGTCAAAGTAACTGAGCCACCACGAGACTTAACGACATCTTAAAATTGGAAATCGGTTGGAGTATTTGGCCATTAGTTTTTAAATTTGAATTATAAATTCATATGGAGATAACTGCATTGCCCTATGCCTAGTACAATCTCCGCCCGCACCATGGAAATTGTTGTAAGTTTAAATGGTGTGTTACAGACTATCAAAAGTCCACTTAGGCCTCCCCACATATTGTTTCATTGGGGGATATTTGCCATAGATGCAACACTTGGCCCATCTACTGGCTTGCTTCCTCTGTTCCTTCTTACGAAACCTACCGGCTACGGGACACTGTTAAGTTTTTAATTGTTATTTACGAAGAAATCACAGGTTTCCCGGACACAATAGTCGACAAGTCTATTACCAATTCATAAGACTCATAGGACTTATTTTCATTAGTGCACTGCTGGATTGGCGATGGTGGTGAAATGACTAACAAATCCCGCATAGGTATCAAACCTGTAACATGTATAATGTATACATGTTCTTTGGTGACAGTGTAAGAGAAATGCATAACTCCATTTCGTCCCGCGGGTTTTGTAAGAAACAACGACTATTGGAAATTCCATTAAGTTTTCTTGGCGTATAGAAGGCGGTTGTAACATCTTTTTTAAGCTAAATGAAAACTATGGACCAGTGACGAGAATCAGTGTCTAAGGCTTCGTTCGCTAATATGCCTGCCATTCGTTGCTATTACGGCAAACCCGGATTCGAAGAGGGTAATGTCCAACTTAGGTCTGTAATAGGCTAAAGAAGATGATATATGGCAGCAGGAAAGTCACCATGACCAACAGCAAAACAAAAAAAAAAAGGATTTAAAAAAAAATATAAGTGACAAACTAATTTCAAATCCACCTTACAAACCTTGTGGTAGTGGCTGCTACAATCCAAGGATAATTGAAATCAACATTAAACAGAATGCTATAGATGCATTGTCACCTTTGAGAAATAAGCTGGAATGCCTTACAGCCTCTATATGAAGTGCAAGCTTTGCTCTTGGGTGGCAGAAATTGGTGAGTGGGTGGCATCATACCACCGTGGCACCATCACCCATACGGTCTTCTAGCAAAAAGGAAGCCCCGCCGCCTATATTAATTTAAAATAATATGTACATGAATAATTTCTATCGTGAAGCAGCAGTTCATAGTAAGTTATTCCATCTCAATCCTTAGTTAACAATCGTCTTAATTCGCTTACTAAACCAGATTATAGAGAACAGGAAATTTCCTCATCAGGGTGAAGCTAGCGGACTTCGGACTAGCGCGGTCGGTGTCCAGCGTGTATTCAGGTGGTGAGGAGGGTGCAGACCCTTGTCTTACAGACTACGTTGCCACACGATGGTACAGAGCCCCGGAGATATTAATCGCTAGCAAAAAGTAAGTTTTTCTTTACCCGTATGGGATATGAAGCTTAGTCTGACGGTCATAAGTTTAACACGAATTATCGATACATAAAAAAATATTTGCGTAAAGCTACAGCCTAAATACGTCCCACAGGCCTCTCTCCTCTCTCTCAGAGGGTTATTAAGTAGTAAGTCTCCCGCACTGCCACATTTTACCGAATTTTATATGCCCCATTGCCCTATTTCATTCCATGGTCAAATCCAAAAAAAACTTTAGCGTCCCAAGTGACCGTATAATCATCACCATGTTAACGCCAGACGTAAAACACCCCGATTGGTGATGGGCAGCAGCGTCAAAGATGGAGATGTCTGTTCAATCTATCTGGCAAGCGTGACGATTAAGGGTCTTCAACTCTCTGAATCCTCCCTCAACGGAAAAGCCCATATACATCACTGGCAGTAGCACAGTATGCTGTCACGTAAGGCACCCTTTATTTTTATTTTGTCCCTTTCAATTAACAGTAGTATCAAAACGTCTGGTACTCCGACTGCCAATACCTTTGCCATTTTGAGTTTTCAACAAATCCTTATTATTAAGAGAGAAAGTCTTGTTTTCGATAGTTTCGGGATGATGATGACTGTATAAGTGAACAGTGTGTTTTTATACTTGGTACGCTGCAGCTATATTATGGTTGTAGGTTTGATGGTTCCGTGGCCCAGATTCTAAACCCGCACGGAACAAGTATTTGTATGGTTTAATTGTTCTAGATGTTCGTCTTTGTCCAATTAATATAATAAATTGCCTCCACGAGACAGGAGAAAATCCTAGTTCTGGGGTAGCGTAAAAAAGTACGGATGGGTCTCTTCGATTGAGGAAGGATCATGCTTTCACAAAATACCAATATAAATTAGCAGATTATTGCTGCTGTTCTGTAGGATGAGTCTTGAGAGATGAAGATCCTTTATACTGGTAACCAGGCATTCCATCTTTTTTTATATATGATAAGGGTGACAAACGAACACACAGTCCACCTGATGGTAAGTGGTTGCTGTGGCTAATAGACATCTACATCCATCCTCGATTACGAATCAAAATGCAGATGAGTTGTTGTGAGGACTAAGATGGATTGCCTCGTTTCCAGTATAAAGGGTCCCCGGTTCTCTACACTCACCATACGAAACACAGCAGTGTTAAGCTGCTATTTTACGCTGGTATTCTGTAAGAGCGTCGTCCTTCCCCGGTCGAGCCGACCCATTCGTGCTACAACTATACGACTAATATGGCTGTAGAATTGCTCTACCACGTTCAAACGACCACTTTACAACAAACAACGACAACATCGACAACGCTTCCGCTTTTTGTTTCGTAATCGAGGATAAAGTAGGTGTAATTGACCACAGCATTCACTGTGCGACCTGTGTGCTCATTTAACACTACTATAAAAAAGAACGAGTAACCATCTTTTCGCAGCTATACAAAAGGCATCGATATGTGGTCACTTGGCTGCATCCTGGGCGAGATGCTCACCGGAAGCCCCCTGTTCCCTGGGACGTCAACCGTGAATCAGATCGAGAGGATAATGGCTGCCCTGCCACGACCATCTTCAGAAGGTAAATCATTGTGATAATTTATGTGTTTTCTATTAGGTATATTATGCTAAAATATTACACTATGTGGTATGACGCGACCACACCATTTCGTCCCGTGAGTGTCGTGAGAGGTGACTATGACCTATGGGAAATGCCTAGAAATTCTTATGGCTTCCGGTAGATGGCGCTGTAACCATCTCATTTACGCCAGATGTAACATGCCTAGACTGGTGAGGAGCAGCAGCGTCAAAGGTGTAAGACGTTTGGAACTGCAATCATCAATTCGCCTGCAAAGTGTGACGATTGAGGCCATCCTATTATGGAAGGGGTCCATGTCCAGTCATGAAGCATGGTAGAGCCATGCTGCAGCTACATTAGTAGTATAGTTGTAGCACGAATGGGTCGGCTTGATCGGGGAAGGACCACGCTCTCACAGAATACCAGCGTAAAATAGCAGCGTAGCGCTGCTGTGTTTCTTATGGTGAGTTTAGAGAACCGGAGACCCATTTTACTGGAAACGAGGCATTCTATCTTAGTCCTCACGGCTGACAATGCATCTTCATTTTAATTCACAAACAAAGATAGATGTAGATGTCTATGGGCCACAGCAACCATTTACCATCAGGTGGACTGTGTGCTAGTTTGACACCCTTATTCTATAAAAAAAACATATGTCTGTTTTGAGATCCTAAGAGTCCGATTTTGTAAAAGAATCTATGTGTGTGTACAGTCGTGCATTAGTATATTCGTACGTTTTTCGCCACGCATATCTCCAGAGTGAATGATTATATAGACTCTAAGTCAACTTTTATTCAGTTCATACTTGCACAATGAATACCCGAGTATTCATATACCGTAATACCGTGTAGTGGCGCTGTATTAATATCCAATACCCCATATTGCCCCGTTGGTTTCGTAAGAGGCGACAGAGGAAAACAAACCAGGATATGGGCGGCTGCGTTTTCCTAATAATACTTCAAGTAAATGAACAACTGCTGTTGTCAGCCCCAATCTCATACGTGGAAACTATACCAAATATCCCCCTTATATGTTATATCTCTGTTAAGGTGAAAACGCAAGGGTAACCCGCGAAATTCAAATTTTCTTACGTTTTTTACAATTTGTAGATCAGTGTCAGGTTGTATGTTGAACAAAATATGGTTCGTGACCGTAACGAGTATGTATTTACAGAATTATTATCATTAAAATCACCAATACAACCCTCCAAGTTCGTATAATCCCATTGTATGGCTATTTTCAGAAAAACTCATTCAAAGGGATTATATCAACTTAGAGGGTTGTATTGGTGATTTTGATGATAATTTCCGTAAACACATAATCGCTAAGGTCGCGAATCATATTTTGTTAAACATACAAGCTGACCCTGACTTGCAAATTCCAAAAAAACGCAAGAAAGTTTGAATTTCGCGGGCTACCCTGGAGCTTTCACCCTAAGCACTAGACTTCTGAAAGGCAATAAAGTATTCATATAAAATCAAATAGAATAGAATAGAATAGAATAGAATAGAATAATTTTTATTCAATATGGATTATTACATAATACTTATTGAAAGTCATTATTTTATTTACCACTGGTTCGGAAAATACCTCTGTCCTGGGAAGAAACAGCAAGAAAGCAGCGGGACTTTTTTTTAAACATAATTTCACTTAACAATAATTTTGTTTATACAATTTTAAAAGAATTTTCATAGAAACAGCATGGTGGCGATCACCCTATTCTCAGGGGTTATTTTCATTCATGTATTCCTTCATATTATAATAACCCTTTTTGTGCAGTTTTTCTTTAATAAAACTTTTAAACTTGTTTATTGACAAACTTTGAACATGTTCTGGGATTTTGTTGTAAAAGCGTATACATTGCCCCATAAATGAATTACTGATTCTGTGGAGTCTAATAACTGGCATTACAAGCTTATGTTTGTTCCTAGTGTTTAAGGTGCGTGTCGAGTGGGCCCGATGGAGTCCCTCCCATTGTGCTGAAGACATGTGCTCCGGAGTTGACACCGGTTTTAACGCGTCTTTTCCGGTACTCCTACTCCCAAGGCGTAGTCCCGAATTCATGGAAGACAACTTTGATCCGCCCGATCCCTAAAAAAGGCGACCGCTCAGACCTGTCCAACTACAGGCTATTGTCATCACCTCCTTGTTCTCCAAAATAATGGAATCCTTTATAAACTGCTAGCTCATGAGGTACCTTAAGGATCACCAGCTGATTAGTGACCGCCAGTACGGTTTTCATCGAGGTCGATCAGCTGGTAATCTTCTAGTCTATCTGACTCATAGATGGGCGGAGCCAGTAGAGTCCAAGGGGGAGTCATTGGCCGTTAGTTTGGACATAGCGAAGGCCTTCGATCGGGTCTGGCACAAAGCGCTTCTTTCGAAGCTTCTTTCCTATGGGCTTCCCGAGAAATTGTTCAAATGGATCACCAGTTTCCTTGCTGATCGGAGCATCAAGGTCGTAGTAGACGGTGCATGCTCTGATTTCAAGCCTATCAACACTGGTGTTCCACAAGGCTGCGTGCTATCACCAGCCTGTTTCTCCTGCATATCAATGATATGTTGCTAACTGGTAGCATTCATTGCTATGCAGACGACAGCACTGGTGATGCCTTATATACCGGCCGTGCCAATATTTCTCGGGAAAACGTCGCTGAGTACCGGAACAAACTTGTGTCTGAAGTCGAGTCTTTGCTTAACAAAGTCTCGGATTGGGGCCGAATAAATCTAGTCCAGTTCAATCCCCAGAAGACACAAGTTTGCGCGTTTACCGCTAAAAGAACCCCTTTGTCGTATCTCCTCAGTTTCAAGGCACTCCCCTTGCTGCCTCAGCTAGTATCGGAATCCTTGGCGTCGACATATCGAATAGTGTGTAGTTTCGTAGTCACTTGGAAGGGAAGGCCAAATTGGCCTCTAAAAAGCTTGGCGTGCTCAGCAGAGCGAGACAGTATTTCATGCCGGCACATCGCTTGCAACTTTACAAAGCGCAAGTTCGGCCCCACATGGAATACTGTTCTCATCTCTGGGCCGGGGCACCCCAGTGCCAGCTCCTTCGACTTGATCGTATCCAGCGCAGAGCGGTTCGAATCGTCGACGACCGAGTTCTTTCTGATCGGCTCGATACACTGGCACTGCGTAGAGATGTTGCATCTCTTTGCGTATTTTATCGCATCTATCACAGGGAGTGTTCTGAGGAATTGTTCGGACTAATTCCAGCCGCTCAATTTCACCATCGCACATCGCGACAAAACTCGCGTTACCATCCATACCATCTGGATGATTGGCGATCCACCACTGTGCGATTTAGAAGAAGTTTTCTCCCTCTCACAACTTCCTTGTGGAATCAATTACCACCAGCGAATTTTCCGGACCGATACGACTTAGGAACCTTCAAGAAAAGAGCTTACACCTTTCTAAAAGGCCGGCAACGCATCTGCAATTCCCCTGGTGTTGCGGTTGTTCATGGGCGGCGGTAGTCACTTACCATCAGGTGAGCCGCATGCTCGTTTGCCCCCTCTTCTATAAAAAAATAAAAGTTGAGACTGGCCGCCGTGACCGAAATTCGGTCTGGAGGACATGAATATTGTTGTATTCTTTATATTATACTAGCTGACCAGGCAGACGTCGTACTGCCCTCTCCGACTTTGTCCTATAAAAATCCTTAAATGACCAATAAATATATTAAGGGTCATTTAACGGGATAAGAACTATCATATTTCTCAAGTTGGACCAAACTGCACACAGTGTGCAAAATTTCATTGTATTGTATTAGTTCAGTAATTTAAGAGTTCATCGCGGACAAACAACGTGACACGTAATTTTTATATATAAAGATTATATTTGTAGTTATTCCGTTCGGTACGTTCACGCTGAATTTACTCCGAATTTTATAGTATCTATATAAATATAAAATATATTAATAACTCGCTGTTACATATGGGTTCATAGTTTTGTGATCTCATTTTTGGCAACAAGCCAGCATAATATACTGTGAATATAAGTTATTTTGGAATTTTGAAGAACTTGACTACCGCGCTATCGGATCCTAGCATAGTTATAATCCATCGTCTTGACAAAGCAAATATTGTATTGTGTGAGTGATGGATAAAATTAAAATTAAATAATTCATCATTTCGCTCACTTCGAGCCGGATTCGAATTGTGAACAACAGAAGAACTAACGAATCTCATAATTGTTAGGGCGGTAGTTGTAAAGTGAGCATCAATCGGTATCATAAGTTACACGATCACTAACAAATTTGCAAATTTGAATGGCGACAGAGCACTTTGTATAGTTATATAGTATAGGTTTTTATTATAGAATTAGGGTGACAAACGAGCACACGGTCCATCTGATGGTAAGTGGATACTGTGGTCCATAGACATCTACATTTGTCCTCAATTAAGAATCAAAATGCAGATGTGTTGTCACTCCTGAGGAGTGAGACAGCAGCTGCTATTCTGTGAAAGCGTGGTCCTAGCTACCTTGGTCGATCCAATCCATTCGTGCTACAACCATAATATAAATGCAGCGTAGCTCTACAACGTATAACGGTTAAGGTGCATTTAAGATAAGGATAAAAAATAAAATTAAAAAATGTTATTTTTATAAATTATTGGGAAAAAATCACCTAAGCTTAACTAGCCGAAATGGTGTGTACCTAGTTGTAGCCGGCTAAACCTAAGTGATATCATCCCGTGGGTGTCGTAAAAGGCGACAGAGTGAAACAAATCAGGAGATGGGCAGCAGCGTTTTTCTAATAACGACTAAAAATAAAAAAAATGCGGATGCTGCTTGCCGAACGTTGCAACTATGGCAAATATGGCCCCTATGGGGCAATATACGGGGGAGGCCTATGTTCAGCAGTGGACTAAACCTAGGTGAAATTGCACTTCAGCTTTGAGTGTTTATCCTTCAATAGCTGCGACAGGCTCGTGAGCCAAATGTTCGGTCTGTGTGGACGTGCCTCAGGTTCCTTAGAGCGCAAGTTGCCTCGGTTGAGCGTGCCTCGGGGTCGCGCCGTCGGCTGTCGGTAAACGAGACGCGCTCAAAGGTGTCTTCGATCATTCGATGTGGACGGTGGTTTAGGCTCGCGAGGCTATTCTACAGATGTACTGTTGTTTATTATGTAGCTATTACGGAAAAGTTTCATTATCACGAACACTCAAAAGCAGTCGTTGATTCATCTAATTCAATTACACAGTGCATACAAGATGTTGTGAGATTCTAAAGATCAACAATAAGCTACTATGATAGTAGCTGCGGTAGAATTTACACAACTCTCCGTTTTGGATGCTCGGTGGTTTCTGATGGCTCGGCCTGCCTCGCGAGGTTCACCCTTGTGTTTTCCGGCAAACTACTGAAGCTGCCTCGCAAGGCCAAGCTCGCGAGTCGCATATCGAGACTGCCGCGCGAGCCCGTGCGCCCGGTGTGGACCCGTCTAATGACAAACAAACGGCTGGACAAATTCTAATGAAATTTGACATAGAATTAGTTTATATTGTACGTACCAAAATAAATACCAATTATTACTATTATTATTATTATTATTGTGCAGTAGGACGTACGATACTATATGTTTACTTACGCGGTAGAGCCACACTGTTACGTAGCTATATTATATGTAGCACGAATGGGTCGGTTTGACCACATTGCGTGGTCCTTCACCAGTCAAGTCGACCCATTCAGTCACATAATACCATTCAGTACCCATTCAGTCACATAATACCAGCTTAAAAGACCAGCTTAATATTGCTGTGTTTCGTATGGTGAGTGTAGAGAACCGAAGACCACTTTTTACTGGAAACGAGGCATTCCATCGTAGTCCTCAGTGGTGATAACGTATCTGCATTTTGTTTCTTGAGGATAAATGTAGCCGTATATATGCGTTAACCATTAGTTGGACTGTGTGCTCGTTTGTCACCCTTATTCTATAAAAAGAAAATCGATTCTATGCCCTCTATTGATCCTCAGAAGTGAACAAGGCAAGGAACCTTTACTTTAGAAGATATTTTATTTATTCAATTTAAAATCACCCCAAAAAATTTCAGACATTACATCCGTGTGCAGTGGCTACGGATCGTCCTTGATCCGCGAGCAAGCCGCTTCAAGTTCGGGTGCGGCTTCTCTAGTTTCTTTACTCTCTTGCGCACCACGAGATGCTGCAGATTTGGTCAATCGCTTGCTAGTGTTCAATCCTGCGAAGCGACTTAGCGCTGCAAGGGCTTTGGACCATGAATACGTTGCCAAGTGAGTTTTTAATTATATAACCAAGTAAATGCTTCAAGATTTTAAGTGCTTCAGTAAGACCATTGCCAAGTTGGTGTTTCGACTTACCCCGGGAAGATTTAGACCAGCGATATCATAAAACATACTTTTATAATACCAAATCACGGAGCAAATACAAAGAGTAGGTGTCCTAAGCAACTGTGCATTGTGATTCTAACTAGGTCCTGACGTCTTTACAGTGGGCGTGGCTTTAGTTAGTATACTGTCAGGGTTCGCCGGTGCGCTTATGTGTCGAAAATCGCAAATCAGTGTATTTTCGTAGTATTAAGAAGAAAAGGATGAAGTGTTGTTTTATAATGTAAAAACTACTCAGATAGACGTTCTGATGCTATGGATGGCATCATATTTCATTTGTAAGTCATTTTACACCTAATTTATTAAATTAGTTCTAGAACAATCTCTGCGTCAGCTTTCAAATATAATTCAATATATTCGACACTAGATGGCGACACTTTGTGTCATGGGAACTAAAAATATAAGGTACGTAGAGCTCAGTATTGGTAATCATACGAAGATGCTGGAATTTGTTTTGCATTCAGTCCTAAACAATTTTTAATCGCCAAAATATTATTTTTATAGTTTTTATAATCATTTTGTGAACAGGCCGCCATCTATCGTCAAGGTAGCTAAACTACATTGCAACACCGATATAGAACGATGCGAGTAGTTTTACTATTTATCGGTAGATGAGAAAAGTTAAGTGGACGGGGCTTAACACCCTCTCACCCCGCAAATTGTCATGCGTTGTTACATAGTAAAATCTAATTACTATTACAACACCTCCTCTTTGTATTTGCTCCGTGTACCAAATGAATGCTGAATATGTTGCTAAGCAGGTGATTCGACTTGCACATACGAAGGTTTAGGCCATGACTTTGTTACTCAGTATTTTTTTAACTTAGAGCGGGCCATAAATACTTTGCCAAGTAAGTGCTTCAATTTAAGGAGGAAACTTTTAAAAAAAACAGCAAGTGCGAGTCGGACTTACGCGTGAAGGGTTCCGTAACATCGTATAAGATTTAATACTATGTATGCAAAAAAAAAACACGTTTCTAGTAGTAGTGGGGAGCCCCCTTTAATTTTTAATTTATTTAAATTTTCTATACACATTCTGTGAATATTTCAACTGTCTACCAATTACGGATCATGAGATACAGCCCGCCGACAGACAGACGGACGGACAGCGGAGTCTTAGTAATAGGGTCCCGTTGGTGACCAAATAAGGAATATATGCCGAAGCAATACTTGAATATCTTGTCAATGTCTTTATTGTTACAGCCTGTCAAAAGTCCACTGCTGAACATAGGCCTTCCCCTAAGATTGTCTCACTTGAGGGGATATTTGCCATAGTTGTTACCTGCGCTTGGAAGACGGGTTGGTGACCTCAGTTTTTAACTTTAGTTGTTATTAGAAAGACACTGTTGCTCATGTCCTGGTTGGTTTCGTTCTGTCGCGTCTTATGACACTAACGACACAGACATTACACTGTGAAGTGTAGTGGCGGTGTAAGAATATCCGTGACGTATTGGCTAAGCAATGAGTTGTATTGTTACGGGCCGCGGGTTCGAATCCCGCATAGAGCAAGTATTTGTATGGCCTACGAATAATTATTCGGGGTCTGGATGTTTGTCACTGTAAAGATTATGTATGTAAAACGCCCCACGATACAGGAGAAAATCCTAGTGTGGGGGCTATAGAGACACTTTTTAATCTATATTAAATAATATCAAAAAATGTGAAGGTTCCACCGCGAACGCGATGAACCAACGCTACCTTCAGACGTCCTCCTGCCTTTGAGAGATGATAAGCAGATGTCGGTAGACGACTACAGGAACAAACTGTACAGCATTATGGCCAAGGGATCAAACGGAAGTAATGGACCAATAAGAAAGAGTCTGTCCAGGTAAGTAATTTTTTTATAGGAGTAAGTTAGGACATTTATATTACGTGGTAGAGCCATGCTGCAGCTATATTAGTAGTAAAGTTGTGGTGTAAAACTAAAATGATAAACATACTTACAGTTCAGCAGTTTTCCACAGTGATGGTAAGTGGCTACTGCAGTCAATGGAAACCTGTAGCCAACTTCTAACAAAGAAAGCTACAGATGCGTTGTCCCTCACAACTTGTAATGTTACTGGCTAATCGCTTTTAATTATGCCATCTGACGGCGGCTAGATGAAGACTTTTGTATTGATAATTCCAATTTAAATCACCAACCGATTCGGCGCTAGCCACCGTTTCAGGAGACGAAGTTAAACTAATGAATAAAAGTTCTCAATCAATCGAATTTTATTTGAACTGTATACATTTTATATTTATTTGAAATAAAATTCGATTGGTTGAGAGCTCGATTTTGTCGGGAGTAGTCTGGCTGGCGAGATGAGTCGCGGGATATACTTTCGTTTGTCACATTATTTTTATAAAAAATAACCTAGAGGTATTCCCAAGCAGCCTGTAATACTAGCCCTCCTGGCCCTCAATACCTTCCAAACCAGAACACCACAGCGCTGTTTTACTGTATAAATAGGTAAACAGGTGGGGCTAAGCTAACTCAGAGGAAATCCTAAAGATACAAGTCTCAATTGGTAAAATTATAAATTTTGTACAACCGACTTCAATATTAATTATTAAGGTAAATCAAAAACTACTGGTCAGACCCTGATCAAATTTATATAAGAGAACATGAGAAGCACCAGCTCTCAAATAAAAAATGAATCATCAAAATTGGTTCACCCAGAAAAAATTTATGAGGTAATACACATAAACAAGAGCTTACAGTCGAATGAGCCCCACGACATATTGACCCTATAATAAATTGTGGTAAACAAATATCAGGAATTATAGACTCTAGTAATTGAAAATGCAGATCTCTTCTCCTTGAGCAGCCCGTAAGAGTCCACTGCTGGATATAGGCCCTTCCAATTGTGGAGAGGATTTGCCTAATCGTCACTCTTGGTAGGTGGATCGATGAAGACACAGTACCAGTTGCCGTTTTAATTTCGTTCATTTAAGATGTTAAAAGTGTACCTATTAGCCAAGCAAGATGGGCGCAATCAAATAAAATGATGTGTCTTACTTAGTTTGCAAAGCATCTCCCGCCTTCCCTCAATGAGGGCTAATAATCTTCCGCTCACCAGATGTCGCTAGTTGTGACTGAGGTAAAGTTTTTCGTTACACAATGTCAGTTAATTCAGAAATTAGTTTTAAATAATAGTTTATCATTATCTAGACTATTATATTAATACAGAACACAATGCGTCAGTGGTTTGATTTTTAATTTTTTGCACTTTATAACTTTTTTTAAATTTTTGCTACTTTTATTTATATTTATAGTTTGGTTTGTTCATTTCTAGCCTATTTAATATAAAATATAACTAATTATGTGGAAAGAAACATTAAAGTTTATAATGATTTCTTCTATTTACGCGAACACTACACATTTACGTCACTGTGACTGTGACAGCCCCCCCGTGACCATGGGTGCTGTAAAGTGCTTGAAACGTCGGGAATGTAAAATAAGTTAATATATGCGATAAAATCCGTAAAATTTGTTTTATTTAAATTAAAGTTTATATTTTCCTAAGAAATTATCTTCCCTGCTATGAAATATGTCAAGTAGTTTACCTCATAGTAAAGTGGCGCCGCCGTGGTGGGAAAAAAGTCGTGGAAGCCCTCATTGACGAGTCATAGACTTAGAATATACTTATGCCAGTATATTCTAAGTCTAAGAGAGTTCACCATAGAGGAACAGCTCCTTTCAATCGTTACTGACATTAGTGAGGTACTAAATTGGGTCCGTTATTCAAAATAGTCGAACGATTTATGTAATCGAATGAATGATGAATCATTGCGTGCACTATCCGAGATTCCCTAGGAAAGATACACCATCCTCGATAATACTTTTTTTTGATCGTTTACCCTTCACCACTTATCCCAACACCACTAAAACGTAGTTTAGTAGTGTTGGACAATTGAGAGAAGACGGTAGGTGCTCTTCAACCTAGGTAAGACAAATAATTTTATTTTATTACGCGGATATTAATATTTAACATCATTCATCAGTAACGCCTACTTCTATTAATTATCTCAATTTCGTTCATCAATACGCGCTGCAGCGACGCGGCGGGTCATTGAGGGCATCCACGACTTTTTCTGCCACCAGGGCGGCGCCACTAGAAAGTGAGGTATAATATTTGACAGATTTCATAGCGGGGAAGTTAATTTATTCGTAAAATGTATAATTTATTGTTTCTTTCTGTACTATTAGCTATATTTTATATTAATAACATTAAAAATAAATAAACAAAACCACAGATATTCATAAAAGTAGAAAAATAAAAAAACAAGTTAAAAAAGTGCAAAAAATTAAAGAGCAAGCATTGTTTTGTGTATTAATATAATACTCTAGAAACTGATAAACTTTTATTAAACAACCACAAAAATCAACTAGCGACATCTGGTGAGCAGAAAATTATTAGCCCTCGTTGTTCCATAATCCTCTCTGAGAGGAGGCCTGTGCACAATAGTCGTACGTATGTAGGATGTAGCCATTACTTTTCACGTGTTAAAGCTACGCTGCGGTTATACTCGCATATGGGTCGGCTTGGCCGGAGTCAATAGTAAATATAGTCAATATTATAATGAGCATAAACATGTAGCATAATGCTGCTTTGTTTCGTATGGCGAGTGTAGTGAACCGGAAAGAACCGTAGACCTTTTTTTAATTAGTAACGAGGTATTGGTTCTTTGTCCTCAAGGGTGACCACTCGTCTACATTTTAATTCTGAATTGAAGATGGATGGATCAGGTGAACTGAAAGCTCGCTTGTCACCCTTATTCTATATAATAAAAATAAAATAAAATCCATTTTCAACTCTTGTACACTACTTATTTACCTCCTCGTCTTCAGCAAACCCCACGCTCTTCAATCAACAGTCCACAACAATACTAAAAGCAGCAAAAGTTTCCACGAGGCCACAGAAATTACTAGAACATACAAGTCCAAACAGCTAACCGCGTCCGCAGACCAGAAGGTTAGACCGAAGACCATGAAAGCACCAGAAAGACAGGAGAGACCGTTGAAAGAATACCGATCGGATCAGGCCATTCCAAAACCAATGCGAGCAACTAAACTCTTTGAAAGTCGAAGCCATGATTGGGAAAGTTCCCACTGTCACGGGGACTATTTTCCAACTAGGCAAAGTCCCCCAGAGGGATTGATAAGTGGGGGGAAAAAAACGGTGCAAAACAGAAGAAACTCTACATCGTTTTCCACTATCACTATAGGAGGGGACGCTGAATACATGGGAAGGACATTAAATCAAAGGCACGGGGTGATAACAGCAAGTGCTTTAATGGACCTCCGCACAAGTATACGGTGAAGGCATTTAGGTGATACGATTTTTGTTAGGTTGAATCTCATTTTTTTATTATTTTGGGGGTAGAAGGAGATTCATAAAGATTTTTTGAGTCGGGGGTAGTGGTGAAAATTGAAGGGTACCCACTTGTACCGTTGATTTTTATTTATTTTCTGCTCGTTTTTGTACAATTTAATGTTGTCTTTTATATGTTAGTACACTGTTTTTTTCCCCCACAATAAAATGTTATACAGTTTATTGAGAATAGTAAGGTCATTGTTTTTATTTCTCGAATATTTTGTTGAAATTTAAAAGTTACTTAAAAAGTATAAATGTAGTATGATTAGAGTCTGTTCGGAAAGATAACAGTCGCGGTGGAATAAAGCTATAGAATATTTCAAAATTTACTTAGCTGTTTGTTTGCTTCACTGGACATCAGTTAAACTTTCGTAATAATTGTTATAGAAATTATCTGACTTCTCGGCCAACCTAATTTCTCAGTATTTCCTTTAAATGTGGTATAAGAATATAACATCAAAATTATTAATTATTTAACTTCCAAATGGTAAATCCACCTACATAGTTTTAAATTTATGTTTGTGTTCTAACTCAAATTATTTCATATGAAATATATAATTAAAAAGTTTCGATACTGTAAAAATAAACATTATAAAACATCAAAGGCTGCTTTCAAGGTATTCATGGGAATAAGAACGATCACAAAGTCTACCCACCTGGTGGTAAATAGATGCCGTAATTTATAGACACATCTATACTCGATTAAGAATCAAATAGAGGATTTACCTCAGTTGCTATGCTTCTAGGTGGATTGTAATCACAGTTGCAACTTTGATATTAGTTAAATCACCCGTAAATTCTTCGGCGGTTCTCTTTCCGAATAGACTGCTCCTACTATTTAAAATTTATTTGTTTGTGTTATTTTTTTTTGTTCTAGTCATTGAAGCTATGAAAACCGTCCAGTAGTCATTAAAGCTTAAATTTAACATTTTAATGTGTAGCACACTAATATATGTATATTTTTTAATTATAGCTTAACTACAATCCTACCTGATGTTAAGTGGTGATGTAGTTGAAGATACTCACTAATTTAGCTTGACTTTTTAATTATTTACTAATTTACCATAACTCTACACTCTTGCTTTGAAGACACCAGGGTATCCAGAGGGGTAAATCTTCAAAGCAAAAGTAGGGATGATGTCTAATGGTGTTAGGGAGAGGGAGGAATTATGTCATGCTACTCACGCGCACACTCCAAAATGTATCTATTCAAACACCAAAAGGATGGCTATTTTGCGCTTGTGCTCGAGATTGGGTTGACTTTATTAGATTTATATTTTAGTTAACCAATAAGCTTCTTAGTACTGCTTTGTCCTGGCGTGATGTTTTGCCGCATCTTTGCAAGTACACCTAATTTCCTTGCAGCTGGTTTGGCCCTGGACTCAAACCGCCTAAAGCCCTGAGCTTTAGGCATTTCGAGGAAATAAAAAAAAGGGTGTGAGTACTAAGATGTTTTTAAAAGTATAGATACGTCATACTCGCTTTAAAATGGCAATACGAAAGTCAGGTAATTGCCCGACTCGCATTCAGTCTGGCACGCTCTCGCGTTGCGGTTATACCTTCGCTACAGCACGTAAATCTTCTAGTTATTCGTGGCAAAAATGCCTTCCTGTGTTTTTAGGTGGTGCACAAATTACACGGCAACTGATAGAGACAAGAAAAACGTTTCATTAATATTTTGAATATACATGTTTTGTTCATAATTGGTTTTATTATTTCAACACTAACCGCTAGTGTAAACTTTGACGCTAGCTATAGCTAGTGTGTTCATTTTCCATATCGGTATGTCACGCGCTCGCGCCAATGAGCGCTCGGCAGCAATCAATACGCAACTAATGATGTATATTCATCTTTTTCTAACGATAGGTATGCTCTATCATTTGTCTCTTTTTGTTAGCGCAACGTGTCATAATAAATAACTGTACGTAGATATAGTACTACCTGCGCCACTTTAAAATACAATAATGTTAGTGTGTAACCTGTCTATCTTTTTAATACGTCTTTGTGTGAGTATGCGGTGTGTGTTTGGAGCGTTAAATCTCACAAGATTGGCTGAGCCCCATTTAGAAATTCTCTGCAGTAAGGATTTTTTTTGGACTAGTTATGATCCCGACTTTCCTGAGCATTGGGCAGATATCGCTACATAACTGTACTGTCGTCTACATAACCACAGAAGCCGGGTATGGTTTTCATTGATATGCAACAGGAATAGAGTTGCGGAGATAATGAATCCTTGAGGAACTCCGGCATTAGTCATCTTAGATTCGGAAGAGTAAGTAGCCTTCGACGACTCCGAGAGATCGTACTCTCAAAAAGTCCTCCACCTGCCAGATCGCACCAGGATATAAGGCGCACGCTGAAAGCTTGCCTAAAAGTAAGCGTGTCAGACTGTCGAAGGCCTTTGAGATGTCAAGGGAAAATATTGCCTCCCCATTTATTTTTAAATCCTCGTCCCATATATGTGTGGCACATGCTAGAAAGTCTTCTATCGAGAGATTGAGGTGAAACCCAGTCTGTGGGTCGGTATATAACCATAGGAAGGAGAGCTTTAGCTTAGAGGATGGAAAACCTGTATTTCTGCAATAATAAAAAGTCAATTAACATGTATTTCTGTAGTAGCCTTTATTCAGTATCGAAATTCGCATCAGAAATAAGTGTACGTTGTAACGTATTGAGGTGTTATTTTTATAGACCAGAAAGATTTATCCGCTCATGAAGAAGTGAGCGTTGACATAACATATTGTTTTTAATTTTAAATAATGAAAGATTCATTAATTGTAAATCAATGACGCTGATTACATAAATTAATTTATTTAAAAATGTTAAATGAAATTTAACGTGATTGCAAAACTTGTTATGTTTATACTTTTCATTTACAAAACACCATTATCATAACCGCTTTAATTCCATTTACCTTTTCGAAAGTTGTAACATTTATATTCGCTTTACTTTCTGTGAATTTTGCAATTTACAATAAAATGTATTGTGACCATTTTATAAAACGTAATACTTCTCAAAATTACTAAAGTTACAAGCGTTGACTTGACGTCAAAGCGTTTAAATTATTTCTTTATCATTTCCCTATCATCCCCATGCGGGCAATAAAGCTAACATGTTATCTTTATCAACTATGGTCCAATAAAAATCGTGAGTTTTATTTTACAAGTTAATATTCTGTTGTCTAATAGGCGGACGCTTCAAGTTTTACTAATTTAAATTGGTGCATTTTTATGCTTCCACAATTATTGATGAATCAGATTTTTAACTTGCAAAGTAGGCTATTTTTGATCAAATATGTTTGTTGTATTTTCTTTCTATTTCATAAACTAGATCATTTCTATCATACGACGTAGAAGTGCCATATTAGTATTGAATAACAGGTGAACTGATTTTATAATCATTTTAATAAAAAATTAGACTAGACGATTTTTATCATAAACATTTCCTCTTTTGACCAAATGAAACATTAAGTAGTTTTTTTTATTTTACATTTATATAATACACACCAAATCACTAAATGTTTTTAATATAAAATATTTTTTTTTAAATATAATATAAAAGAAAATAAAATTTTTACAATTTTCATAAATGCTAATATTTTTTTTTATATGCCGCTCGGCATTATGTTTAGAGCCATTGTATTTGGCCAGCTACCGGATACAAAAACATGGCCGCATTAAGTGGAATACAGGATGTCTGTTTTAACTGTATGCTATTCTGTACCTACTCCATGAAATAAGCGAACTTGGTAAAATTCATGAATTAATACGATTCATTCGTTATAAATATTTTTTTCTAATTTTCAAGTAAAATATATGATTCGCATATACATAATATTTGATAATTAATTATTAAGACGATTTTAATATTTTAACTCGGCTCACTAGAACCTTTCTAACCTATCTTAATTATTTTATTAAATACCTGGTTGTTTGAAATAGAAGAAAAAGACAATTATTAAAAAAATAATTATTAACTTTTATACACTTTGATCCCTTATTAGAAAAAAGAAACCTACAGTTAGTTAATTCAAATAGTGTACTGAGTAGTAATAATATTTTATATAGTTCTAAATCTACTGCCATAATTATATAATAATAGACCTATTAAAATTACGAACGAATAACCAAAAAAACCCGAACTAAGAACGAATAAACAAGTTTAGAGAAATAAAAAGCTTAAAAGTAAGGAAATTATAAGTCGTTTCAGACTAAGACTGAGACCTCGATCGTTTATTTTATACGTTACTTTTACTTTAGGATTTTGTTTTAGGATTTTTGTACTTAAAACGCGAAATATTGATGCAATGAGAAAGTATCATTGGCGCAAGTTATAGTGTACTATAGTGACGCAAATAAAATCACAATAGTTATGTCTACACCAGTGCGCTCTCAATTTCGCTTTCATGTTCATTCATTTCAACTTTCAGTTCGTCTTGCGTTAAGCGCTGTGCCATAAGACGCATCCAGCTTATCGTCTAAACCAGTGCGCTTGTCGCCTGCAACTCGTCTATACCTCACGCGCCTCGGTTGGGCAAACCACGAAGATTCGTAATTATCTTCTGTTCCGGACACACTTCTTTTCATCGTTACTTTTTGATGTCCCTTTGAGAAGTATGACCTCAAGCTCTTTATCTTGTTTTTAACCATTTTTACATCATAATTATATTTTTGGCTCAGAGACTAAACGCATCGTTTCTTTTTATTTTATTTGTGTAATCTTTGTGCCTGTGGTGCCACAATACTTGTATATGTTATTATATGTTCGATAATCATCGATAAATTCTAATGTTTTAACTTTGTCTTCCGGCAGTTTGTTTACTAAAATGCACGAAATGTTGCATGCGAATCCACCGGTGACGGATCAGCTTTCACTAGAGGCATGCGCTGTTGTCGAATTAGTTTTAGCGCATGCGCTATTGTATTCGTTATGGTTGGTCAGGCATGCGTTAGAGGAAGACGCAAGATAAACAGGAAAGCGCACTGGTGTAGACATACCTATAGAATGATGTGCATCTTTTGATGTTTGCCTGTGCCAGATTTGGGCAAAGGATGCAATTGCGTATGTGCGCCGCCCCGCTACACTTACAAGCGCAACCTTGAAGAAAATTAGTTTGTGTATAGAGTATTAACTAAATTCTTCAGTATCGTTCATCGAGTAATTTCAACAATTTCGCATTAGTTCATGTAAATTTTCTCTGGTTTTTACCCTGAGACTTCCTTTGCCTTAAGGCTCCTACATGGAAACTGGTTTCGGATGCTATATAACTAATTCACCTGTAATAAAGTTCCCATCTTTATGACAATTTATCTACACCGACCTTTGAACTTATTTTGTTTGTGCGTGTGTTTTATGGCTCATGAATATTATTTTCTAGATAAGACGCTATGATATTAAAATTTCAAAATGTTACCAGAATTTTAAAATATTAGTTATACTAGATAATAAAAAAGTGTAGGCACTGGCAATGATTTTATTTGCACAAAGCACTCAAACGAGAATTACATCGAGGAAGATACTCGTTATAAATAAGGTTTAATAATGAATTGCTCAAAATTGTTTAAGCAATACAAGAACAATATATTTAATAATTGATTAGTAGGTAAAATTTTACAAAGGGACTATGATTGCGAATATTACAGTTCATATGTTTATATTTACCCTATACATGTTATACCTACTTAGATCTTGTTTTATGAATTTAGGATCAATGGACGTTCTCTTAAAGTTATAATTAGCCTTCGGATTTTGATGAATTGTAGTATTGCAATATAGAGAGAAGCTAGGAGTGTCAGATTCCTTCGAATCCTGATAGCGAGTCGACAACGAGAGGATAGCGAGTTATCGGCGAGACGCTAATTTCTAAATTTATTTTACTAAATAAAACTAATTACTATAACCGAATATCATTAACTTTTTATGAATTATTTTTGCTAATAAAAGTGGTACATAAAAAAGAATTTCATGCGTCATGACATTAAGTCTGTCCTTTGTACTCTTTTGTAATCCATGCAATAAATAGATAAATAAATTAATGTTCCTGTGACAAGTGAAGATACATTATTTTAGGCGGATGAATAACATTCATCCGGTAAACCTAGTGATAGATTCTTCTCAATAAAAAATAAAATAAAAAAATCTACTTAGTAAATGATATGTAATATAATGGTTTGTAATGTTTTCATTTTCTTTGATCACTTTTATAATATGTACTTTACCAGGAAAAATAAAATATTGCAAAAGCTTTGTTGTTTTATTTTCTTCTTTTTCCTTTTTTCTTCTTCTTCTTCTTCTGGATTTACGTTGCAGAGCCGCGCTGCAGCTATATTATGGTTGCAGGACGAATGGGTCGGCTCGACCGGGGTAGGACCATATAATACCAGCGTAAAATAGTAGTTTAATGCTACTGTGTTTTGTATAGTGTGTAGAGAACCGGAGATCCTTTTTACTGGAAACGAGGCATTCCATCTGAGTATTCAGGGGTGACAACGTATCAGCATTTTGATTCTTAATTGAAGATGTCTATGGGCCACAGCACCCACTTACCATCGGGTGGAGTGTATGCTCGTTTGTCACCCATATTCTGTCCAAAAAATAGCCCGTAGAAGTCCACGGACATCGGCCTCTCCCGCTGTAGGTGATAATTTGGCCCTTGGCAGTGTACTCGCGCTCGCAGTACCAGACGTGCACTAGATGGTTATACCGTACACACCGTACATTGGAAGTAAATTACTACATATTGGAAGCACTTAGATATCTCTACATTTCCCACAGTGTTCTCTTTCGATGACCACAGGATCAAATGAAGTATGGATTCTCTCGGCTGACAATGCATCTGCATTTTAATTCGAAATCGAGGACAGATGTAGATGTCTATGGGCCACAGCAACCACTTACCATCAGGTGAACTGTGTGCTCGCTTGTCACCCTTATCCTATAAAAAAATTTAAAAAAAACCTTTTATATTGTAGTGGCGTGTAGACCCCACGACAATAGATATATATTAATGTTAATAATTATATAATAGTTATCATGTCACTACAATATACAATATTTGTTTAATAATTTTCTTAAACCTGGCAGGGGAGAAATTTTGTATATTTTCTGTCATAAATTGGAGATGGTAATACCGAAATCTGTCGGAAGCCATAAGATCTTTTTGGCAATTCCCCCCGTAATCAGTGGCGATTATGGCAAAACTTTACTACAAAGGGAGAGACTAAGTTTTATCAGTAGACTTTACTAGGTTGATGAAGGTATAACTACATAGATCATCTATTTAGTTTTGTTATAGATTAAGGGCGAGGAGTCATGGTGTGCCGCCTATGCACATATACAACAATTTCATCGCATCCGGCATATGTCGTGTGAGTGAAGGACATTTAGCGTAAACAGTCTCCCTGATAGTCGGTGAAGGCTGCTCTTTTGAGACTATGCCGACTAACGCCGGAGTCCCTCAGGGGTCCGTTCTCTTCGCAAATCTCTTCCTGCTACATTTCATAAGCCTGCTTATGCATGGCATTTAGAGGTACGCAGCGCAGATGTGGAGAGATATCAGCCGAGTGCTCACAGGCAAATCGGGATCAAATTCAGTCCGAAAGAGTAGCTATATTTGAGCACGTATATCTATAACTGCAGTCAGTCTCCGGGGCGAAGCCAATATTGTGACATTTAACACCCCAAAAGCACACCGCATCCTCACATTATTCACCGTAAAAAGTGGCTCCTTTTGGCTCTGCATTCCAAAATGTATGAATGTAATACACCGTCTGCCTTTATTAGTTGGAGGTTAAAATTTTGTCGAAACTAAACTTTGGGCGGTACTTTGCGTCAAGACCAGTTGTTTACAGTATACACTCGTAAGTTCACGCACAGAATATTACTGCCATATATGGACTGGTGCTGTAACATGCAAATGAATAGCTTTGGAATCAACGAAAATACGTGCTAACTATATTGATTACCTGAATCTGGTTAAAGCCAATTAAGGCGTTCCATCTTTGTCCTCTAAGGTGACAACTCATCTGTAGCCTACCTTGTTGGAAGTTGGTTGCAGGTGGCCAAATCAACTTCAGTAGCCACCCACTTACCATCAAGGAGATTGTTGGTTTGTTGATCAATTTAGTTTTATAAGAAAATTTTACCTATTAGTTTCGAGCACATTTCGGACATACATTTCGTAGAGTGTGCGCTGAAATTGCTGTCTTTCCCTTTCGCCATTTCCACTTTTAAACGCCCTTTTATTGTTGACACCCCACGCATTTAAACCAAACAGTTTGCTTCGTAGTTCGTAATGCTTACAGCAAAGGGAATAATTTGGCAGCATGTACCTTTATATCCGATTACAATATGGGTGTCTTCAAGGCAAGAGTGAACAGGTTGTTGTTAAGCTAAGTTAGTGTGTTATTATCTTCGGCTAGATCACCACTTGCCATCAGGTGTAGTAGTCAAGTCTTAATATAGTTAGAAAAGACACGGCTGGAGGAGAATCGTCGGAACTTAATTAAAGGTCAGCGCACAACAAATGCGCGGTCGTATCGTCCAATCAGGATATAGCCTTAAGTTTCTAAAAACGTCTCCTCGTACAGAAGAATAAAAATCATTCACATCTGTCATTCAACTGTCTAAAGATTAATAGTTTTTACAAACGAAGAGAAATAAGAAAATGAAACTAAAATTGTTATCATACATACAATTTATACTTTTTCAAGTTTTAACTGTATCTAATAATGTTGCCTCGAAAAGTCTACTGCCTGTTTTGTCAATAGATCCAAAAGCGAGGACTTCAACCAACCAATCTGTGAAAAATACACGAAGAGTAAGTATTGTCATATAATATTTTAATACTTCAATCAGTTGTTTATTAATAAATTATGCGAAAGTTAGTTAATAGGATCCGAATGAAAAAATAAAATATGTACTATATAGGTACTATGGGAGAAATCCAGTATAGTGCGAGACTGGAAGAAAAATAAATATAGCAAACAACAGAGTAGGCAGAGACGGACTTCCATTTGACAGGATCCCGTCACATTTCTCGAAGAATAATTTATGTATAATTATAAAATAGGTTTAAATAGCATTGAATGTCAATCATGATGGAATCACCATAGGATGAGTTGGTTGATGGTATCTTAAGCCGCCACAATCATGGTAACACATCAATAACACCATTATAGCCGTTCACAAATCCACTGCTGAATTTATCCCCAAGGAACGCTACGAAACTCGGCCCTGAGCCATCTGCATCTATCGACTATCTGCATGTTTTGTGGGCCAACATCCACTAGATGGAGTGACGATGGATGGTAATGCATGTGACACATGTAACAATATAAACTAAGTGAATCTAAAACGGTTTTATTAAATATATCTTGAGGTTTATCTTCACATGTTACACTATTGCAATATCTGCTCTCATTTCTGAGAAAATATGTGACTATTTTTACAAACATGCATAATGATGTTTATTCGCGATGTTTTCCTTCACCCCTAAGCACGTGGTAAATCAACACTTTAAAATACAATGACAGTCTTAGTATTGCAAGTGGGAAATGAACTACGGTTGCTCGCTTACCATGAAATGAGGGCATCCACGACTTTTTCTGCCACCAGGGCGGCGCCACTAGAAAGTGAGGTATAATATTTGACAGATTTCATAGCGGGGAAGTTAATTTGTACGGAAAATGTAAAGGTTAATGTTTCTTTTTGGACTATTGGCTATATTTTATATTAATAAGATAAAAAATAAATAAACCAAACCACAGATATTCATAAAAAGTTGATAAATTAAAAAAATGTTACAAAATATGCAAAAAATTAAAAAGCAAAGCACTGACGCATTGTTTAGTGTATTAATATAATACTCTAGAAACTGATAAACTTTTATTAAAACTAACTTCTCAATTAAATGACATTGCGTAACAAAAAATTTTACCTCAGTGTCATCTAGCGACATCTGGTGAGCGGAAAATTTTTAGCCCTCATTTATTGACGAGCACATCATGCACATTGCACATCGCAATTAGTACAAAAACTTATAAGAAATGGTTTTCATTCCAGTATCTTCCGTTCATAATGCTGATAGACCGGAATAAAGATACCAGCGAGTATTGGCGTGAGACCGAGATACTGTCCTTGCTCCGTAACGATGAAGCCGGCATAGACTATGAGAAATGTGAACAGAACGCCCCAGAAATCACTTTATTGCATTTGCCTAGCAGAAGATCTGTAAGACCTGTTTGTAGGACGCCTTACGGTAAGAACACACACATGGGAACTTTATTACGTGATAGGACACCTATTCTGCTTGGGAGTCTGTCCTAGCTATTTCTGCCAAATAGCAGTGCTTTCATTGCTGTGTTCCGGTGTGAAGGGTATAAGGGTTTATGCATCTGTTGCCTTTGAATAAAGGTGGCTGTAGATGTCCATAGAATGCTGTAGCCACTTACCATTAGTTGGGCTGCAAGTTTGTTTGTCACTTCAGTTTTATAAAATAAACTAGCTTTTCCTCGCGACTTCGCCCGCTCGTAATTTAGCGTTTCAATTATGTTGCGCGGAACCCTAATCCTAAAATCTAAAATATAAGTAGCCTAAGTTACTCCTTATAATATCAGTTATCTGCCAGTGAAAGTCCCACCGAAATCGGTCCAGCCGATTCGGAGATTAGTCAGAACAACCAGATAGAGAGACAGACGAATTTTTTAAATTTGTGTTCAATTTTATTTATTTGTATATATATGTATGTATTGCATGTATAGAGTACATAGAGTATGGATAAAAATGAACTGGAATACATTTCTAAGACTTGGAATGTACCAGTCATAAAAAGTTATTTAAAGAACAGTAGAGAATCATATCTACGAGTAGCCTTTACTTAATTAATTTCTTAAAAACGAAACTAAAGAAACAGCTTAAAATGTTCTTCAACTGGGAATAAGCATTGGTCTTCTGTCATTATTCTGTTTCAGGGTTCTTAGCGAAGTTTTCCTATACTGTCGCGCTCGTGGTAAATTATTCTAAGCTCTTAATACTCTGATTAAATCAAAAATTGATTCTTCTATGTCATTCGCTCTTAAAAATCTACAGGGAGGATTTGTCTTACGTTAACCGACATATCTATAGGAATCCGTTAAATCTTTCAGGAATTTCCCGTCATCATTATCATCATTAAGCAAGTTCACAGCTGTTCATTTGTCTCATCCAAGTAATGCAAAATACGGTCCCGAGCTAATTTACACGTGGTGGAGTTACGCTGCAGCTACTTTATGGTTGTGACACAGGTAGGTCGGCTCGAAGAGGTGTCGGCAAGAAATGGGAAACTGACATTCACATAGAATACCAACGTAAAATAGCAACTTGTGTTTCGTACGGTAAGTGCAGAGAACCCGCGACCTTTTTTACTAAAAACTAATCATTCTTACTTAGTCCTCAGGGGTGCATTGTGATTCTTAATATATATAAAATCTATTAAAAAAAATCTATTAACTTCCTGCAAGATCGTCCCTCCATCTATTGAGGATCGCTCTACACTTCGTTTACCAGAACTGACTGCCACTCGAGAATATTTATACCACATTGGTTGTCGGTTTTTTGAGCTATATGGTTGTAACGTGGTACGTAAACCAACGGCTTTATGTAAAATATTACCGAATTTTGAAGATAGAAGTCATGCAAATTCACCGTCCTCTACCCTTTATTCTCGTGCAGGCAGATTTTTTTGTTATAGGATAAGGGTGACAAGCGAGCACACAGTCCATCTGATGGTAAGTGATTACTGTGGCTCATAGTAATACTTTAGATTACTGTGGAAAAGTATCAAAATGCAGATGCGTTGTCACCCGTGAGGACTAAGATGGAATGCCTCGTTTCCAGTAAAAAGGGGTCTCCGGTTCTCTACACCCACCACACGAAACACAGCAGCGTTAAGTTGCTATTTTACGCTGGTATTCTGTGAGAGCGTATTCCTTCCCCGGTTGAGCCGACCCATTCGTTCTACAACTATACCTATATTGATAGCTAATGATCGCATCAGACTATTCCAGATATGTTTCGACAAAATCTAATGTTATATGCTCTAACGACACTACAACATGGCTACCTAAAGTTGTTGTAATCCAATAATAATTGGAGTACATACATACTACACCAATTTAAGTGACAACTTAACAATTTAAATTTAACAAACCTTTTTGTATTATTTTAGATTATCAGCTTTGTCCACAATGTCCGCGTTTCAACAACTATACAGAATGCGAGTTGTTCCGTGACTCCTGCAGGTAACGTAATGTCGTGTTTATATATAATATAAAATATGCAATCCTTATAGTGTTGAATATTGTTTGGTTGAAGAATGTTTACATAATATATAGGTACTAGTTGGTACCCGGCGGGTTGCTGCCGCAAAAGAAATAATTGTGGAAATATCGTTTTAAATTTGGAAGAGTTATATTGTTTAATTAGGAATGATAATACATTTATTGAACTTGAATGATATATAACTATCAAATAAATTTGTCAGTACGATACGCGCGCCACCTACTGCAAGTTAATTGCACTATGCCTATAACCTTCGCGCAAGTGTAAGCAATCAGTTGACAAAGTTTTACCGCAATCTAATGAACGATACGGCAGCGCATAAAATACGAACAAACCAAACATAAATTTTTATAAGTATAATTGATATATCTCTCTCGTAGAGTAGCCATCTGCGCAGGACAGGATTATGGTGTAAGCGCAAACACAGGAAAACACTATTCCCTCATTCTCAGTCCGCTGGGACTGCAATCCGACACGACTAGAGAAAGATAATGCACAAGGGTTTTACGTGCTTTTCGAGGCACGTGGGTGAAAAACTGCCTGATTCCGGGCCGCTACTGAGAATTTCATGACAGAAAAGCTCAATAACTCATTATGGCTTGACTCCTCTCACAGAATACCAGCGTAAAATAGCAGCTTAACACTGCTGTGTTTCGTATGGTGAGTGTAGAGAACCGGAGACCCATGTTACTGGAAAAGAGGCATTTCATCTTAGTCCTCACGGGTGACAACGCATCTGCATTTCTATTCTTTAATGAGGATAGATGTAGATGTCTATGGGTCACAGCAACCACTTACCATCAGGTGGACTGTGTGCTCGTTTGTCACCCAATCCTATAAAAAAAAAGCTCCGAATTCGAACCCGGACGATTCGAATTCGAACATCATGATAAGCAATCGCGGTTACTTACTACTGTATACTCCTGCAACTAGACCAGCAAGGCAGTCAAGAATTTGTTTGTCCGCTCGTTCGTTTCGTGACTCACTACTTTATACAATTTATATAAACAAACATACCTATTGTTGGTGAAAGACTGGACTATTTCCTAAGTTAAAAACCAAATTACCTTCTAAACGGGTGAAGTAAAATTTAATTTAGATTAATTCACTATAGCAAAAGTTGAATGAATAGAGCATAAAAGTGCATTAACGTACAAAGACAAACTTAACGCTTTATCACTGTTACCAACCCTACTGTTTTAACAGTAGATTTGCTGTTTTCACATTGATTTCAATGTTTTCTGTTTCATTCTTATTTTCTACTGTTTTTCAACTAGCGTTCAGCGCCACCTATTACACTGCTATGCAAACATTTTTTGATAACCACTACGTAACAAAACGCAATGACACTAGATGGCAGTATCTTCTTTAGTCGGGATTCGAGGGAATTCCCGACCACATTATATGTGTTTGACAATCATATTTTTATGCACGGGGAAATCCCAATTTATGAATGACAGCTACACGCCTATTAAGGTACGTTGGGGTAATACCGGACGGATTTTCGAATAGTTGGAAGAGTCTGCCAAAAACTTTAATTTCTCGACATTCGTATACGTCAGATTTATGGAACATGGAGCAAACCGTTAATCGTTAAACGTAGTTTAGCTCTGAGAATCTTTTGCTTGTGTAAACTCAACGGTTTCTGCTTTAAAGGTGTGCGAAAACTAGACATACTTTTTTATATGCATAATGAAAAATTGGCCATTAAGGGGTAAGACCGGACTTAAATTTAAAACCACTTCTACTGCTTAGAGAAAAAAGTTTATAAAAGAGATTTGTCCTATCTTTAACGCTCAAAAACATATTTCAATATGATCTATAAATTACTAGAAACATAAATGTTCCAAACGATTTTCTCTTTTTTTGATTCTTGCCATCCGATCTTATCCCTGATATAAAGAAATTGTAATTTTATGTTTCTCAAACTTTGTTATGACATTTTTTTTTTATAAGAGAGGGGGCAAACGAGCATGCGGCTCACCTGATGGTAAATGACTACCGCCGCCCATGAACAACTGCAACACCAGGGGAATCGCAGATGCGTTGCCGGCCTTTTAAAAAGGAGTACGCTATGGAATTACTCAATATAAGAGAAAGATCGGATGCATTTGATTTTATATGGAAAAAAAATAACAGTAAGGACTGGCGAAATGCCCTGGGATAATGCAGGAGTTAAGGAAGATATAAATATTTTAACAAAGCGGCATTTATTATTATAAATTATTTTTTAAATAATTATTATAAATTACATTTTGATTTGTAATAGAGGATAGATATAGATGTCTATGGGCCGCAGCAATCACTTAACATCAGGTGGACTGTGTGCTCCTTTGTCACCCTTATCCTATAAAAAAAAAATGTATTTTAATGTGTACTTAAAAGTAATAAAACCATCATATTGTTTTATTACTTTTAAATATACAGACTTGCTAACGAGACTGAGTCCCATAGTCACTTGAGTAATCAACGAAAAAATATACACGACCAATGAAAGTTTAACAACCACTGCCATATTTGTAACAGGCAAAGATCGGATAACATTCATCCGATCTTCACTCACGAGGGGAAACATCGAATCTCGGCCTACAGCGATCTTACCTCTGCTTGAACCAGCTTTATTTAGCTATAACTTCATAAAAATTAGTATCCACACAAAATAATAACAAAAGAAGCCATATTCTCGCTAAAAATCGTAAATAAAAGTGATAGGGAAAGATCGGATGGACAAAAATAATACAAATATTACATTGTTTTATAAAATGCCACGCAGCACAGGTCCCACTTGCCGGAGTGACTGGCGCGAACTGAGGACTGAGGGTCGGGGCAGGATGAAATGGCGTCGTGTAGCATATTGTTAGCTTTTTAAAATATAGCATAATTCGCCGTGAATTTGAATCCTACGGTCTTGCCCCATCACCGATCTTACCCCAACGTACCTTATACTGCGTATCGTTTTATAGTCACAACACCTTGAACAGTTTCTTTGAATTGCGGCGTCCATTTAAAAAAAAACAATAATTACAACATTTTTGATAAAATGAGTAGTGATTCATCGACTGGGAAAAGTCCTCCCAAGAAGAAAAATGTGAAATATGAACAGAAATTCGTAAATTTGTGGTTAAAAGATGATAGGTTAAAAGGCTGGTTATGAAATCTGCCTTTTTTTCTTTACCTACTGCTTTCTACTGTTTTTTTTTTAGGCGAGTTGTTGTTTTTTAGTTTTTTGAGGTTGGCAACACTGCGCTTTATGGCGTTCTCTATCAGACAAATATTTCTACTTTATCACCAATTACAATTATAAAAATATGTTTAAAACATATCTTCTGGATAAACAATAATTTAAAATTAAAAATTTTGTACAACCGACTTCAATATAAATTATTAAAAATAACTCCAAAACTATTGGTTAGACCTTAATCAAATTTATATGAGACCACATATGAAGCGCCAGCTTTCAAATAAAAAAGAATCATAGAAATCGGTTCACCCAGTAAAAAGCTATGAGGTAACAGACATAAAAAAACATACATTTGAATTGAGTACCGTCTCCTTTTTGAAGTCGGTAGAAAACAAGGTATTGGCAAACACTTCGTTCGCCACCTATAAACCATGGCATGTTCTTTCTGTTAACTCATCATGGCTGTCCAAGTCTTTTATTAGTTTTAGTTAGATGCATGTCGTAGGGCTGAAAGAACACATCATTCATACATATTTACACTGACTATTGTGCTCATTTTCGTCTCTAAAAATCAGTGTTTGCTCTCTGAGCAATATTAATGGCTGAGCTAGGACCCATTTGTTGTACTGTAACACATTGTACATGTACTTATACGTGTACAATGGAACTTTTTTGTAGCAACTTTGTTGTACCTACTTTAGTCACAGAATTGGCGTGTGTGATTGGTGAAACAAATAAATGATTTATCTATTATCTGTCTATCTATCTATGTCAATAAGGATGACAAACGAGCACACAGTCCAACTGGTGATAAGTAGACGTTACGGCCCAGAGACTCCTATAGCTATCCTAATCAAAACTACTCGTAACTAATCAACATTCGGGTGTGTGTTGTTACAAAACACTTGATGGATCCTTTTTGGATTCGGTTTTGCTGTTGAATCTTCGAATCATCGATTCATAAGATTGTCCCTTCGATACCCTAACTTCGTCACTGGTTTTAACTTTTAGGGGTAGTTGCCATTTGTAGAAAGTTTTTTAACTATGCGAATTACCATAAGATGTTTACAAAAATGTTGACGGCTCCGTGGCGCAGTGGCTTAGCAATGAGTTGTTGCGTTGGGGGTCGCGGGTTCGAATCCCGCACGGAACAAGTATTTGTATGGCCCACAAATAATTGTTCCGGGTCTGGATGTTTGTCCTCGTGCAATTTATGTTTGTCAACTGCCTCCACGACACAGGAGAAAATCCTAGTGTGGGTGTAACGTTTTTTAAAGAAAGAATTAGTAAAATAGTAAAACAAACATTAAAAGGCTCGTAAACGGGATATAAAACATGCTGGAAATCTTGGTGAGAACTATAGCTAAGCAATATTGCCGGCGATAATTTTGCTGCAATGTTATTGTGCTACACCTTGTAAAGTATGTTCCGAAAATGTTGCTTCAACTGTGTCAAATTGAGTTTATAAACCTAAACGTAAAACAACATTGAGGCTATAAGCTGAGCAACGTTGCGCTGTGTTGCGATAGCCAGCAACTTGACGGCTTTACAATTTCAGCTGGAAATGTATGTTCTTTTTTGTATGTATATCACGCGATGTCTTCGCAGATTTTGAGCCACGATTTTGATGATTCTTTTTTTTATTAAATAGGTCATTCTTCAAGGGTGGTCCCATATAAATTTGGAGAAAAAAATTCCACCCCTAAAGGTAGTAAATAAATTAACCACTTTATGAGCACTTTGCAGTCGGTTTTTACTTTTTTTTAAAAGCAAATTTACTAAAATGAAAAAATGATTCAATCTTGTCATTCTATCAATTAAATGTTGAAAATTTAAAAGTTCTTATTTCTGTCGTCAAATAACAGTGCTTACACTGCTGTATGCCGGTCAGGATTCATTCCATCTTAGCCTTCAGATGTGACAACGTAACTTAGCATTCATTTTTTGCAGTTGGTTGCAGGCAACCAGGTGCTGCAGTACATTACCGTTTTTTTTACTGTACATACAGTTTGTCTCCCTTATCCTATAAAAAAAAGTATCCACTATCATGTGGACTGTAAGATTTTATTCTTTATTCTTTAATGTACACACCTTAAGTTGGTAACAGTTATAAAATATTCAAATAAGAATGTACAAAGGCGAGCTTAACCCTAATAAGAGTTCTCTTCCAGCAAACCTTTTGGGAAAGAGAAATAGTTTTATATATAAAACAAGTAGGTAGCAGCTTGCGTACTTAATACCGGCGCTAGATACAGCTTTAAACATTTGAACACTTGTTTGAAGGTATGTGTGGCACGGGACTTTGAATCAATGTGCAAATAAGTGCACAGAGAAATGCACTTTGCCAAGCGGTTTCGGTTCTTTAGCGCACATCAAAGCGTTTAAAGACGACACTGTTCAAATGTTTGCGTAGCCTGCCGCACTTGCGCAAAACCGCAAAGTTCAATCACGCGAACGTTGTTGAGCGAAACGGTCGTGCGCAGTACATTTTAAAAATGGGTCCAATTACAGACAGTAAAAAACAATCGAATGAATGTGATTTGTATGGTCAGCTTTTATCTGAAAAGTTAAAGCCATTGGATGAAGATGACGGACTAGTACTTATGAATGAAATAGATAATCCTGTATTTAAATATTTTATTGTATTATTTTTGCATATGTAATAAATAATGACATGCACTTAAATAATACGGGCACACTGCTTCCACAAAATCGTCGTCGATCTTGTTTGTCGTTTTACAACGTATTATGGAGAGATGTGTTTGCAAAGCATGTCTGGCAGGTTGCGCCAATAAGTGTTCAAATAAATGTTCAAATGTTGTTGCTATATCTGGCGCCGGCTTAATAATTAACATAACACTACTTAACACGTTCGCGCGCGGTAACGGCTATGGCCGCTTTTTTTTGTATTGCAAATATACGGTACGGTTATTACCGTAAACTTTAAAATTCTCCGTATTGCCAGTACGGTATAAGCAGCTAAACGACTGTGAGTTATATATACAACACATTTCCACTGGCACTCTGTGAGAGGAATATACGATTGTACTGTCAAAATGTAATGCACAAGAGCAAATTGTATTGTTGTTAGTCGGTTTAGGACGTGTGTGTGCGCACACAACTACACTACGGCTGTTGCCGTTGTGTTTGTATGCGTGTTACTTCGACGCACGAGTTAGTGCCGCGTGGGACGCCATCTTGTCATAACGTGTATTTCTCTAGCGCTCCGCGATCGAAAGTGAGTATAAATACTTATTTTACTTTACTGTAGGGATAAAATCTTATTGTAATATAATAATCGTTATACTATAAAAATAGCTTTGAGCTATATATTGACGTAGTTATGAACAAATTTTATCAATTGAATTTGTATAATGTAGGTATTTATATTTTTTTAGATGGCACAAAAGCAGACAGATAGTGAGCGTATTAGGCAACTTTTAGAGGATGCATCTACTCCAGAGTTGACTCCAGAACGGGACCCATACAGTGATGATGGCGAATATGGATCGGATCAAGAATTTCAACCTAATTATGATGATATGTCGAGCTCAGATGTGGAGTCTACAGAGACAAGAAGAATTCCAAGAAATATGATGACAACAGAGTTTAGCGGATCTAGTGATACTCTAGTGTCAGATGGTGAAGTAGAGGTAAGAATCCACTCAAATTTAACTGTCCCTGTGGAGCAGCCGTGCACTTCAGATCAAATTATAAACACAACTAACGACGATATAGGGGATGATAATGCCAGGGCAAACAGCCCATCTATACTAATGTGCCATGAACAATTCGATGATGCATCTGATGTACACGAAATATCGTGTGAAAATTCTCAAAATGACACTGACGAGTGGGTGGACGTTACCGCCGAGATCCCCCTTTTTCATTTTGATTACGCATCTGAAGGACTCAAAGTAGAAATACCTGATAATGCTCAACCTTTAGATATTTTCAAATTAATATTTTCTAACGATCTTTTGGATTTTGTTGTGTCTAGAACAAATGCTTACGGAAATAATTTGACGAATACAACCAGACCTCATACTCGACATAGTAGAAAATGTTCTTTCCGTGATGTAACCAAAGAAGAAATGTTAGCTTTCTTGGGGCTTTGCTTATTACAAGGCCAAATTAAAATTCCAAAGAGGCGAAAACTCTTCTCATATTCCGATCCTTTGAATTTCCACCCGATATTTTCTTATGTGATGTCATCTAGAAGATTTGATCAAATATTACGAGCCATTTATGTATCAGATATTGAGGCAAAAAGCGAGAAGAAGATAACTGGTTTTATTGAAGCTCTATCTGAGAACTTTCGTCGTGTATATGGTCCTAGCAAAGAATTATCGTTAGATGAATCTCTAGTTTTATACAGGGGTAGACTATATTTCAGGCAGTACATAAAATCTAAGAAGGCTCGTTATGGTATAAAATTTTATATCCTAACCAGTGCAACAGGATATGTTCTGAATATTATTATGTATTGTGGTAAGGGCGAAGATGATAATACGTATGGGAAGAAAACTGAACAAATAGTTATGAAACTGCTGAAACCATACTTGATGAAAGGTCATCACGTATTCTTGGATAATTTTTATAATGATGTCGATTTGAGTCAGAAATTACTAGAGTTGCGTACCCACACCAATGGCACACTTCGTAGATACAGAAAGACAAACCCTAAGGGGCTGACACAGATAAAACTAAAAAAGGGTGATTTTTTTTGGTGTCGTAAAAAGCAAGTTTACGTATCAGCGTGGTATGATAAGCGTCCAGTTTACGTTATAACTACCAGAAATCACCCTAAGCTAATAAATATTTCAAACCGATTTGGAAAAATTTCACAAAAGCCTGAAGAGGTTTCAGAATATAATAAATATATGGGAGGAATAGATAGGAAAGACCAAATGGTTGCATATTACTCCTCGCCACAGAAAACAATTCGATGGTATAAGAAAGTATTCTTTCATCTCTTAGATATATCTGTTTGGAATTCTTTCTTTGTCTACAAAAAATACTTTAAAAACGATGTAAAATACGAATTTCTGGACTATCGCGAAGATTTAATAAGACAAATGATAAACTTAGAGAGTGGTTGTTCTGGTAGAAACATTATAAGAACTGGTAGCGTATATTCCAGTCGACGAACTGCAGTTAGAGCTCCAAAAAAGGTACTTCAACAGGAAAATTTGGTAAGCATTAGGCAGGATCACTGGCCAGAAGATATTCCGTGCTCAACTGAATCCAAGAGGAATTTTAAATATTTGAACTGTAGCCTTTGCACTAAAAAGAAAAAACGCAAAGAGACAAGATACAGGTGCAAGGGATGCCGAGAAAAAACTCCCTTATGCCCTACATGTTTTGAGGAATGGCACGCCAAATATGTTAAGAGGGGAGATACATAAAATGAAGCTATTATTCTAAGAAAGTGTTGATTTATACACATATTTTTTAAATTTTTAAAGAGATATTTTTTTTTGTATTTAAAATAATAAGAACTGGAGTAAGTTCTTAGGTACTAATTAATAGGCTGTGATTGATTATAATAGATATTTTTGTTTTATTTTATTTAAAATACTTAAGAACTGGAGTAAGTTCCTACTTATTACTAAGCTGTAATTGATTTTATAATAAATATTTCCTACGAATGCTGACTTTTATTTTTAAACTGCTATAGCCGTACTGTTATCATGCAATGCATATTCCCATATATTACACGGCAGTACGGCCTTAGCCGTATTACGGTTATAACCGTACTGCCCTCAGGAATACCTTTTTTATTATGTGTTACGACAGTACGGTTATAACAGTGTCCCTAAAATGTATAGAAAATTTTAGTGATTTTTTATGAAACTATCAGTTAAATTACCGGCCACGAACGTGTTAATAGAAACTGGCTATAAGTTACAGTTAACAATTATCATATAAGTGTACAAAATATAAGTAAAATTTGTGACATTAGTTACTTCAGTTTTATAAAAAAGTAAAGAAACAGCTATCCATCACCACATTTCATCCCGTTTACCCGTCGGATCAGGATATCCTCTAGTTGACTCTTATGACGGATAAATTTGGCACATGCCAAAAAAATTTTATGATTTCCGATAAATAGCAGTATAACCGTGTTATCCACAGAGTAGCCAGCTACAAAAGATTAAAAGTTCACATAATATGTAGTTTGTTTGCAGAGAGAGGCGCGTCCACCCGAATGAATACCGCACGTACTGTGACCGGAAATATGGAAAATGGCGGACCATGTTCCTACCATCTGATTATTCACATTGCAGATGCTGCGATGAGTGTGTATTTTATAGAGGTACTGTATAGCTGGCCTGGAAGACATTGTCTGCCCTTTATGATATAGGTGGTGCGATGGGCTTGAAATTAAATTTGAATATAAAATCCGACCTCAGTGTCACCTATCGGGTCTAGATTTTATGATTTTGACGACGATAACTATACGCGCGTCACCTACTGTAATGTAACTGTGCTATGCCTATAACTTTCGCGCAAGTGCAAACAATAACTTGTCAAAGTTTTACCGCAATCTGATGAACGGTATGGCAGCGCATAAAATGCTTACGAACAAATAAACATAAATTTTTATATGTTGGATTATATATTAAATGAGTAATTTTGGTTCATAAAGATAAAATTTAATAAAAACTTTACAGCGGATTCTACACCAAACGGATTCTAGAATAATTATAAAACGTTAGAGGCGACTATGTTAACATATATCATGGCTACCGATAGTTGGCCGTATAACCATCTCCTTTACGTCAAACGTAAAATACTCAGACAGGCGACGGGGAGCAACGCCATAGGAGCAAGACGAAGTACTATGCCGGTACTGCAAGTGTCAATGCGGCTGCCAAGCGTGTCGATTAAGAGAGACCCAACTAGAGGCCCATGTCCAGCAGGGGACTTTTACGATATGTCGGAAAAGAAGAACCTAAAACGGTCAAGTCGTTCGGTTGTTATACGATCACTAACAGAAGCACTAAAACAAAGGTTTGAGAAGGTCCTTAATTTCTTTTAGAATGCTAGTACAAGTCACAGCACGTAAGTCTAGCGCAGAACGAAAAGTTGAGGGGATGCGAACGATTTGAATTGCACGAATGCGACTGGAGAGCCAATCGGCGCGTGCGAACGATACGCACGAGCCAATCAGCGCTACTTATGCGCAATAACGGTCACCGCTAGACTTTCGTGCCGCTACTTATAATGTTAATACACTGCTAATATTGTATTTCTGTTAATCACTTCTGCTATATTTAAAATACTTTTCAACTGTTCCTTGAGGGGATCAAACCCGCGAGCCCGCAGCGTCGTAACAAAACCCCTAAACGCTACAAATATCTGCAAACACGTGATAATTCAATCTTAGCTTTATCTCCTGTTAATCATTCGTGCATTCACAGCCGTATCCTGGTTTGAATAGAATGGAGAGCCAGTATGATTACAGACTGTCAGGCGATACATCTTTAGTAATATATAAAGAAATAATATAAAACATTGATCAAATTCTTTTACGTGGCATATATTTTTTCACTTTTGATTTAAATGAATTAATGAATCTATTATTTAAATTATTGCAGAAATGGACCAGTCGTGTGTAGAGGACGAGTACAGCTTCGATACTGAAGAGTTTTTGCCTGTAATTACAATAGGTAAATGTAATCAATAAAACTGCGACTAGTATTACAGTTTTTTTTTATTAAACGTAATAATGGTCATCTACGTGATGGCGATTATTACAGCTCGTCGACACATTACAACCGACTTTCCAAACAAAGAAGACCACAGATGCAATATCAAAACTGATGATAATACCTCACAGCCTGTATTTATTGTAGCTACATTATTTTGCCCCCCAAACTGGAACACACCAGTATACTGCTTATAGTCGCTGTTTAGCGGGAGAAATAGGTACACGCAGGCTGGTAACGAATACTGTTTTTTTTTCATAACTTTTACGGAGTAAACCGATTTCGATGATTCTTTTTTTATTTGTAAGCTGGTGCTCCTTATGTGGTCCCATATATTTGATCAAGGTCTGACCAATAGTTTTTGAGTTATTATTAATAATTTATATTGAAGTCGGATGTACAAATTTTTTAATTTTATTTAAAATTAAAAAATTACTATTGTTACAGTCTTCTCCGGTTTACAATGCATTCGATGGATTGTTCATAGAAATATCTTTTAATATTTTTATTAGTTTTAACGTTAATATACGAACGAAGCAAATGAATAAAGAAAAACTAGGATGAATAAAGAAAACCAGAACTTCACTAAGGCTGCTTATAACATATATAAGCTGCTATTTCTAAATTATGATAAAAATCTTAAGCAGATATATATAAATTAAAATAAAACATCCTCAGAACGTACTCCACCAAGTGACGCCATATTTGTATTTGTTAGAAATCGTCTAATTATGATTTTTTTTTAAATAAGTTACCCCCACTCTAGGATTTTCTCCTGTATCATGGAGGCAGTTTACAAACATAAACTGCACAAGGACAAACCCAAAACAATTTTTGGCGGCTATACAAATACGTGTTCCGTGCGGGATTAGAACTTGCGGCCCTCAGCGCTGCTACTCATTGCTAAGCCACTGCGCCACGGAGCCGTCTCCTTTGTATTTTTGGTAGATTTTGTCACACTTACCCATCGATCACTAGTTTTTTATTAGTGATCGATGCACTTACCACGTATTAAAATAAAATTTAAAACTGAGCAACCTGTATGTGTGTTTTTTTATGTTAGCATTTTTACTATATTTGAAATGATAAAACAGAAAAAAACATGCAATCAAACATATATACATACAACCTGTTCCTAGACCATCTGGGTAAAAGTTAGATTTGGCAGACAAAAGTACCAATAATAAGTCGTAGAATTTTTAGTGCAAACAAACCTTACAATGGTTACCAAAAATGTATGTAACTGTAGTTGTATTTAAACTTCAGCTAAGGGTCAACAGTGAAAATATATAAAGATAGTTGTTTATAATTAATATTATAATATAATTTGTATAGATAAACTAATATATAAAATTAATTTATGTTTGTTTGTATTTTATGCGCTGCCATATCGTTCATTAGATTGCGGTAAAACTTTGTCAACTTATTGCTTGCACTTGCGCGAAGGTTATAGGTATAGTACAATTAGCATACAGTAGGTGGCGAGCGTATCGCAAAAGTAAATTTATTTGAAAGTTATATATCATTCAACTTCAATTAATGAAATTAAATGAAAATCATTCCTAATTGAACAATACAACGCTTCCAAATTTAAAACAATATTTCCACAATTATTTCTTCACTGCAGTAACGCGCCGGGTATCTACCAGCTACTACTTTATATTTTTGTTCTAATTCATAACCTGCAACCTAAGAGGAGGTTTATAACTTGCCGAAAGTGTGGGGTGCCCTGGTGAAATAAAAAAAAAACGAGGAAAATTAAAGCAATCTTGATTACACATAGCGAATTATTATTGATTTTTTTTACAGATTTCAGAGCTGGTTGCAATCCGTATTGGGGTCATCCCAAGCAAGAAGTGAAAGCTTTGCGTTGTGATCAAGTGTTGAGAAGATGTAAGAAATGACATTAATAATTAATACAACTTATAACTTACTAATAATTACATAACGTTTAGTAAAAGAGACGATTGTAATAATTCTAATATTTTTGTCGGGCACGGGTACACTAATGGTAAGTGGATTCTGTGGACATCTACATTTATCCTCAATAAAGAATCAAAATGCAGATACGTTGTCACCCGTGAGGACTAAGATGGAATGCCTCGTTTCCAGTAAAAAGGTTCTTCTGTTCTCTACACTCACCATACGAAACACAGCGGCATTAAGCCGCTATTTTACGCTGGTATTCTGTGAGAGCGTGGTCCTTCCCCGGTCGAGCCGACCCATTCGTACTACAACTATACTACTAATATAGCTGCAGCATGGCTCTACCACGTTTAATTAAACTAACGCACGATAACGTTTAGTAAAAGAGCCGATTTTAATTATTCTTATAAATTGAAAGTAAGTAAAATGAGAGGTCCAATCTAGAGAAATAGTAGCACATAATTCGTCCGGTTAATCTAGGTTAACCATTTTGTTTATGTTTAATAGATAAGGAAGAAACAGATAATATGATATTGATAGTTAGATCTTTTGATCGTGCTTAAGAATATCCACTACCTCATATCGTCCCGTGGGTGTCGTAAGAGGCGACAGAGGGGAAACAAATCAGGAGATGGGCAACAGCGTCTACATAATAACAATAAAAAAAAATACGAATATCCTCCCTAGAGCGGTGAACTTTTGCTATGCTCTTAAGCCGCGTATCGATTACGCGCTTCAAGAGGTTGAACATTGGCGCGCGCTCCAGCCGCGCGAAATGGATACCGCTTTGGAGTGTGCGCCAAATTGTTCGTTGGAACGCTCAAACGTGGAGCGGTGTGTTTGTTGCGTTCCGAGCTATGGATAACCAAAGTCGCCATAAATTGATAAAATTATAAGGTTCAAAAGAACTACTGTGGAATAGCAAAAGAAAAGCTCTTAGAGAAGACGCATGGAACTATGAAAGCGGCAGCTGTTCGTACACGAACTACATCCACGTTGAACGGCTGCCGCGCGCGCCAAGCGCGCTTAGTTGATACACTTGAAACATTTGGAACGCGTTCCGCGGAACGCAATGGTCGGTGCGGTCATTTACGGCGCACGTGCCAGGAGCGCGTAATCGATACGCGGCTTTATAGTAACGGTTGGATCTGTCCCTTCATTATCACCTCGTTTCACTACTGCTGGAGGCACTGTAGGGATAATTCACCATAATTGCCACCTTTGGCTTGAGTTGGCGTTCGCATCCTATGACACCGATGGTACGGAGTGACGGATCTACTCTATGATAACTTGTTTGTAGCGTTGGTAGGCTTATGGTTAATAGCGCATACCGCAAATTCGGAAAGTCGTGGTTTCAGATCCGCCATTCTACTACTAATCCACTCCTTTTTTACATTGAGAAGTGCCTACGCATACCCAGCTCAATGGGGCTGGGACAGGTTATGCCGGATTCAAATCTGCACCCGAATGTCTTTCCTTGGAGTATAAGCCTACTGTGACCGCCGCAATTAACTATCAAAAGTTATTTATTAACTATTCGGGAGATAGTTGAAACAGAGAAATTTTACGCTGCCGCCGATCAACTGATGAAAAAATGTCACCTCGTAATCTCTTTGCAGTGTGACCATGTAAGATAGTGTAAACAGATTATAATTTCCTGTTTCAGGTGTTCCTGTTTCCATACCGGTCGTACCTAATGATACGCTGAATGTGTAAGCCTTTGCTATGTTTGTAGTCTATGCCATAAAAATTATATTGGAAAAGTTAATTTTTTTATTTTCTATCTCATTGTACTCTGTATTGTTATTAGTAAAAAAAAAAAACATATTTAGAGTTGTAATGGAGTGTTCACCGCTTGTTAGACGGTGAAGAAACTATCGTATGGCAACTTTCATGTCTGACAAGCCAAAGGAATATTTCGAGGATATTTATGAAGTTGAGCAATACACTGGAGCGCCACGGTGGACTCCATAAAATTGTTCAGAAATAAGAGAATATTTATAGAGAATATGTGTTCTGTAGTGGGATGTGTTATATTTTATAGGCTGTAGCAGTACTCGAGTCTACTCGACTCGGTACATTGCTAATGAGGCGGCGTCTGTAACACCCACGGTTTGAAAAAGAGTAAGAAGTTTTATTTTTAGAATAAAGGAGACAAAAGAGCACACACAGTCCACCTGATGGGAAATGTAAGTGGTCCATTAACACCTACAATAACACTGCATTAAGAATCAAAATTACCCTTGAGGACACAGACGGAATACCATTTTCTTATAGAATAAGGGTGACAAACGAGCATACAGTCCACCTGATGGTAAGTGGTTGATGTGACGCATAGACATCTACATTTATCCTCAATAAAGAATCAAAATGCAGATGCGTCTTCACCCGTGAGGACTACTGCTATATATTATACTGATAATTTGTAAGATCGTGATAGGTTTAATGGTCAAGTCGACTTATTGGAGTCGCAGCTTTTTTTTTATAGAATAAGGGTGACAAACGAGCACATAGTCCACCTGATGGTAAGTGGTTGCTGTGGCCCATAGACATCTACATCTAACTTCCTTTGCGAATGAAAATGCAGATGAGTTGTCAGCCGTGAAGACTAAGATAGAATGCCTCTTTTCCAGTAAAATGGGTCTCCGGTTCTCTACACTCACCATACGAAACACAGCAGCGTTAAACTGCTATTTTACGCTGCTATTCTGTGAGAGCGTCGTCCTTCCCCGGTCGAGCCAACCCATTCGTGCTACAACTATACTATTAATATAGTTGCAGCATGGCTATACCGCGTTAACGCTCTGCCACGCTTCAAGACATTCTTGTACACTTACCGCTAATGTGTCTTATAATGGGAGGGGCCTATGTTCAACTAAGAAATTTCAGGAGCTGTTGAAGGAAAATAGGAAGGAAATATCATCTAATATCGATGTTAGAGCACCGGCAAACTGTTACAAGAACTACACACGTCTAGTACGCTAGAGTTGGGATATTCCTCTGTTTATTATAAATAAGAATTTCAAAATGTTTTAAGGGTTTATAGAGCAACATCCCAGGGCCACCAGACCTCACTTATTTTCTGACGAACAAAATGTGTAAGATAGAGTAGTGTTATTATGTACTATGCTTACCTGCTAGCTTGGACGGACGGCCATTTTCCAAGTATCAGGTAATCAAGGTACGTAAAAAAATTACTCGACTCACAAGCTGGCAGGTAGGCATGCAGCTATAGTACATACTCAATGTTTATCGTTGTTTTGTTCGGTACGATGTTTCACAAAAAACATGTTTTAATCGGTTGGATAGAGGCTTGGCAAATTTTGAAAGAAGTAGATGTTTTGCTGTTGTTATTAAGAATAACAAAGCAAATTGTTTGGTTGCAGTGGGTTGTATGTAGCTGGGTATATTTTGTTGAATGACTAAAACATAAAATGTAATTCCTTCTAGACGTCGCAGTTTCCGCTACGATGTCCCAACGGACGAAGATTGTCCGGTCTCCTGCCGCGGTTATGAATGCCAGGGACTGGTGCAGGAACACCAGTGCCCGCCTGGTGGCTTCTTACCAGATAAGAACTACTGTAATTGCTGCGGCAAGTGCAGCTCCTATCATCGTATGTTCTCCATCTTTTCAGTTTCATCCTTTTCCCAATATAGATAGAAAAAATTTTATAGAATAGGATGACAAACGAGCACACAGTCCACCTGATGGTAAGTGGTTGCTGTTACCCATAGACATCTACATTTATCCTCGTTTGCGAATCAAAATGCAGATGCGTTGTCACACGTTAGGACTAAGTTGGAATGCCTCTTTTCCAGTAAAAAGGTTCTCCGGTTCTCTACACTCACCATACGAAACATAGTAGTTTTAAGGACGCGTTTACAAAATTGATAGGTATAGAATCGAACGATTACATTGACACTGGTCACACACACAAGTGTACGCACGTTTAGCTGCGGGAATCGCAATCAAGTATAAACATTTTGATAATTTGAAAGATTGGTTTTTTTCATGTTTCTTATACCTACAAAAATATACTTAGATACGAAATATAAATGGCTGCTCCAGAGACAGCTAGGTACTAGAAGCCCTCTACAGGGCGTGAGATGTTGGCTGTGGACTTTGAGCTGGTTTTGTTAGTTATGATAACTTCAGCTCCGAACTTGGTGAAGTGACTTGAAGGTATAGTTGGGTGACTGCTACTGGAAGTCCGGGACGAGTAGTACCATGTGTGCCGAGTTTGGGCTCATTATGTTAGTTATGATGAGACCTTACCTCCGGACTGGATGGAGACCTGAATGTGTGCTTCGGTGACTGCTACTGGAACTCCTCGACGAGTAGAATTAGGTATGCCGAGTTTGGGCTCGTTTTGTTAGTTATGATGTGACCTTACCCCCGGACTTGATAGAGTGACCTGATGGTGAACTTCGGTGACTACTGGAACTCCTATACGAGTAGAACTAGGTGTGCTGAGTTTGGACTCGTTTTGTTAGTTATGACGAGATTTTACCTCCGGACTTGATGGAGAGACCTGATGGTGTACTTCAGTGACTACTACAGGAACTCCTGGACGAGTAGAACTAGGTATGCCGAGTTTGGGCTCGTTTTGTTAGTTATGACGAGACCTTACCTCCGGACTTGATGGAGAGACCTGATGGTGTACTTCTGTGACTACTACTGGAACTCCTGGACGAGTAGAACTAGGTGTGCCGAGTTTGGGCTCATTATGTTAGTTATGACGATACCTTACCTCCGGACTTGATGGAATGACCTGAAGGTGTACTTCGGAAACTGCTAGTGGAACTCCTGGACGAGTAGAACTAGGTATGCCAAGTTTGGGCTCGTTTTGTTAGTTACGACGAGACCTTACCTCCGGATTTGATAGAATGACCTGATGGTGTACGTTGGTGACTACTACTGCAACTCCTGGACGAGTAGAACTAGGTGTGCCGGGTTTGGGCTCGTTTTGTTAGTTATGACGAGACCTTAACTTCGGACTTGATGGAGAGACCTGATGGTGTAATTCAGTGACTACTACTGGAACACCTGGACGAGTAGAACTAGGTGTGCCGAGTTTGTTAGTTATGATGCGTAGTTGCTCTTGAATTTGGTAATACCATTTATATTTTCTCCGACGTAATTTTTAATAATAGGGTATCTAATCCTAGTTTTTTATAAAATTTAATAAAACATAAAATTTACATAAATTTTAATTAAATTAAAATTTCACCTAATAATTTAATATTTAACAAATAAAGTTGGATATAAAGGAATTTTACAACCTTTTCCTGATGCTATTAAATTAGTTTCTAAAGAACAAGTTTTTCCTATTTATTCTAATTATAAGTATATTTAGAAATCTTAATATATGTTGATTTTTATTATATATGATTGATAATAGAACAAAAAATGTACCGAAACATGAGCCGGTATCGTTAATTTTGTAGAAAATGGCTAGGGAAGATCCTTTTTACAATGTAAAAAACTATTATTTTCAACAAAAAAGTTACCTCCATTTGAAGATAAAGAACCATTCTATACGTTGTAGTTATTAGTTATATTTGATTTGGTTTAGTTTTGTCACAAAATGTACCGAAAAACAGCATAATTTGGCCCGATTTGCAAACGCACCCTTAAACTGCTATGTTACGTTTTACGCTGGTATTCTATGAGAGCGTGGTCCTTCGCCGGTCGAGCCGACCTATTCGTGCTACAACTATACTACTATGCGGCATGGTTCTACCACGTTGAATTCTAAAAAACCATTAATGTATTGATATTACATAACTTCTGAATTACTATAACATAAAGCAATAGCAAACTGAGTTAGAGTTCAGAATTTATTCGTCAGTCTAACTTGACGTTTAGAGCTTTGCAATTTCCTCTTAAAGAATGTTACAGTCTTATTGATATTATAACTTCTTCCTGTGCGGCTAGCATGGGTTGGGGACAAAAAATTTATCTACCCGATTATATCCACTGACAAGAGATACAATTATCTTGTCCTTATGCCAAAGCACGGCAACGGGGAGAATCCCTGTTTGACATAGTCCGTAGTATTGAGCCAAATGAAAGATAAAAAATTATGGTTTTTTGATTATTGAAAGGGACAATTTTATCCTAGTTCATTGGATGTGGGTTTAAGTTTATATTCATATAAGAAATCTAAGTCTAAGTCTATCGCCTATTTTATCTACTGTGGATATTATATCCACCGGTGTGCCCATGCTCGAAGGGTGAGATAAAACTAAGCTACTAACTAAGGGGATAAATATTTTCTCCTTTCCCCAGGGATAAAATTGTCTCCTGCCCATGCTAACCTAGCCTAGCTTAGCCTAGCTAGATTATCAGCAAATAGTGCCTTTTAAAAACTAATCACACTTATTGTTACATATTTCTACCGCCAAATTGCAGTGCCAGTTCCAGTCTGAATGATATAGAGATTCAGTATTATTAGGTACAGATTGTGAAGCATACCATCTTAGTCCTCAGAAGTTGCAACATATCTGGAACGTTTTTTGTTTAGTTGGTTGAAGGAGTCTCCATTGACTGCAGCGGCTACTTACGATAAGGTGGACTGTGGGTTCGTTTATCACTTCTGTTCGGTTTTATAATAAAACAATTTTTTATATGTAAATAATATTTAAAAAAAATTCGAGAGTTTCGTGGAACACTCGGTTGGAACGAAGTTCCTTGCGTAGTATATTATTATTGATAAACGTAGATATTATATTATTGATTAACAAATACCAATAAATGAACTACTAGCGTCTATTAAAATGAAGCGTCATTTGAAATAACATAATATTTCTTTCATGGCAAGATAAGAAAAAGTGCGAGGGAGATGGATATTATTCCATCTTACTTTCTTATTTCGCCGACAAAGCCGTCTACACTATGACACAAGGGGTAGTGACGAAAAAATCTTACACTTTTTGTCGCCTAGCTCCCATCCGCCAAACCCGTACCGTCCGATAAGGAACTTCGTTCCAAAATACCTATTAAATAATATTAAATATTCTTTACGTGATAGAGCCATGCTGGAGCTATATAAATTTTATTGTTGTAGCACGGATGGGTCGGCTCGACCGAGGAAGGACCACGCTCTCACAGAATACTAGCGTACCAACCAGCTTAATGCTGCTGTGTTTCGGATGGTGAGTGTTAGAGAACCGGAGATGCTCTTTACTGGAAAAGAGGCATTCCATCTTAGTTCTCAAGGCTGACAATGCATCTGCATTTTGAATTGCAAACGAAGATAGATGTAGATGTCTATTTGCCATAGCAATCATTTACCATCAGGTGGACTGTGTGCTCGCTTTTCACCCTTATCCTATAAAAAATACCTCTTTGACAATATCTTCTTTCGATGTGTTCCCTAAGAACAATAACCAAAAAACCAAATTATTGATTTTTGATGAGCGTTTTGATGAAACGAATATTTGTGTAATTACTGTTTTTGTATGTGTTAACGCAGAGTTGAACCAAAAGTGTGCCGAATTTAAGAAGACCCTACACAATATCAACGGAAGCACCGAGATAGAAGTGAGTGTGCAAATTTGAGCATTATTTTACACATTAAATTTGTAAACAACAAAACAATGCCAAAATAGTCCAGAGGTGTCAATCATCACTTAAATTGATAATGAACCGTAACCGGAACCACGTTTTACTTCTGTCTATATATCTTCTATATAAATAAATAAAATTGGAGTGTCTGTTTGTAATGTCAAAATTATAGCTTTTTACTAATTGCACACGAAATTATATACGGTACTAATAACAAAAACGCAATTTTTAAATTTTTTGTCTGTCTGCCTGTCTGTTTGTTCCGGCTAATCTCCGAAACAGCTGGACCGATTTCGACGGGACTTTCACTGGCAGATAGTTGATGTTATAAGGAGTAACTTAGGCTTAACTTAACTTTTATTTAAGAAAAATAATAAGGGTTTCGCGTAAAAAATTAAAAACCTAAATTACACGCGGGAGAAGTCGCGGGGAACAGCTAGTTTTTAATAAAATTAAAGTGACAATCGAACTTACAGTGTCACGACTCATGGAGATCTAGAACCAACTTTGTGTAAAGAACGCTATAGATACCTCTGTCACTTCTAAGGTCTAAAAAAGAATGCCTTACAGTCTGTTATTATAATGGCTCTCTCTACAGAATGAGACATTGTTACGGCCTACGGCTGCTCCCTTAAAGGTCAAATCCTTAGGGGCCCATTCAGCTGAGTTTCGACGAGCAGACGTAGGTCGGGCCTCAATGTGGCCACGTGGAATTTCTCTAATTACACTAAACTATATGGGGGAGCGTTCGATACTACGGCCAGTCGACCGGGAGGATATTAGTCGGAGTTTACTTACCTATATCCAAGGCGACTGGTCCCTCCGGAGTCGGTCAGGTCGCATGTGGTTGTGTAGTGCAAGGGAAATAAGGTGTTGTGATGTGTATCTGGGTGTGACTGATGGTGATTGACCCTAGACCTTGGCCGTCGGCAGCAGCCCGGGCGTCGACACTGCTCCAAATTGAGGGAATCTTCCGCGGCGTTCTCCACAGTCACTTTCCTCGTTCGTCACGATGACAGTCCATTAACTCTATCGTACGATTAACTAACTTACAGAAGCCCCTAACTCTCGTTGGGTATAAAGTTAACGCACAAAACTCCCACGGAGTTTCCGGATCAAAGGTCACTACCGTTTCGCGTAGCAACAGTTATTTCTAGAATATTAAAGGCCGCACTAACTAATATTGCCGAATGCACTTATGCAGATTCTGAGTCAGACACAATGAGTCCCTGGGGAGCTCTCCAGTAGGAATGCGCGCCACAAATCCTAGACCGTATATTTACTGTCCGCGCCTAATTATTCCGAGTTCCCGACAAAAATGACAGCGTGCTAACGTTAGCACCGCTTACAGACGACTCCTTTACGCGTTCTCAACCCCACCGCTCGAGCGACGTCAAAATCGGTATGGCACCGAGCGTCGCGCCCCCTAGACGTCGATTCCGACAACAGCGTTTGGCGCGAACAGACATATAATATATTTTATATACATAAAGACATAAAGACATTTATTCCAACACTAACATCTTCTACACACATGACAAATTACGATTAAAAATAAAACAAGTGACTTATAAACAAAAAAAACAAACAAAAATTAGAAAGAAAAGTAAAAAGAAAAGTGCATACATTCAAAAAATGGTGTGCTATGATGAAGTGTTGGAGGGACCGTCTCTTTCAGCCTGCCCCGAACAAGTTCCGACGGTCAATTTAATGCGAGCGAGTATTTCTTATTTTATTATTATATACCTATCCTTATTACCCTCTTTGAAACATACTGCCAGCACTGCCGGCACTTGCGACGATTGACGAGCAATCTTAAAAAAATATTAATTCGCCTGTTAGCGATAAGACTGCCCATTGCCATTGTATCGTATTTCTTGTTTATTCATATTTATATTTTTTGGCGTACAATAAAGTGTTATCTATCTATCTATCTATCTATCACTATCTGTCGGAACTCGGAAGCCATGATATCGTTATGGGACTTCCCACGTATTTGCATCTCAATAATTTGTTCTATGTACCTAGTTAAAACTTTTGGTAACATTTAGAAAATGTCACTAGTTTAATTCTTATCAGAGAGCATTTTCACATTCAATCAAATAATTTACAGAATACACATATTTATTAATTTATATTCATACATACATACATATATGATTCCGTAGATAGAGGAGGAATTCCTTGAGCCCGGCTGTGACGACGGACTAGTGTGTCGCCAAGGCGTGTGCCAGGACATCCACACACTTCAGGCGTCAACTTCTCGTCACAAGAGGAACGATATTTATGAAGAAGCCTATGGTAATCTGCCATGCGTAACCATATTAGGTATTTCTTAGGTGTTTTTCAAACTAGGACTCATCATTTTTATTTTAGACCCGGATTCTTAATTAAAAAAAAACATAATATTTTTTTTATAGAATAGGGGTGACAAACGATCATACAGTTCATCTGATGGTAAGTGGATACTGTGACCCATAGACATTTAAGAATCATGTTGTCACCACAGGACTAAGATGGAATGCCTCGTTTCCAGTAAAAAGTGTCTCTGGTTCTCTACACTCACCATATGCAACACGAAACACGGCAGTGTGGTATTCTGTGATAGCGTGATCCTACCGCGGTCGAGCTGACCCATTCGCGTTATAACTAATATAGCTGCAGTACTTTTAAAAACATGTTAGAGCTGCAGCGTGGCTCTGCCACGTATAAAGCATTAATAGTAGTAGTATAATTTATACTATACTACTAATATATCACTACTGTGCGATCCATATCCGCAAAGTAACAACTGATTCTATGAATTATTATTTCTTTGCCATTTTTAGACGACAATATATAACATTTTATTAATAGTACGGGCGGGTTCCGAACTTTTTTTAAAATGGGATAAAGGCGACAAACGAGCACACAATCCACCTGATAGAAAGTGGTTTCTGTGGCCTACAGATATCTATATCTACATCATTCTCGATTACGAACCAAAATATAGATGCGTTGTCAGCCGTCAGGACTAAAGATGGAATGCCTCGTTTCCAGTAAAAGGGGTCTCCGGTTCTCTAAGCTGCTATTTTACGTTGGTATTCAGTGTGATCCGTTCCCCGGTCGAGCCGAGGCATTCGTGATACATCTATACTAATAATATAGCTGCAGCATAACTCTACCACCTATAAAGCAATGTTACAATGCTAGCTAATGTTTTAGAGCCCTGCAAGCAAGAGATGAAATATTTTAAGAAGAAATACGGTGTAATGGGCCACTTACACTACGAGGCGCCGCAGTGTACGCCGCTTTGGCTTTATGCACCCGTACAGGTATTTTTTTTTCTTAGTGGCTTATACTGTTGCCTTAAAAAGTAAAGGGAAGTTACAGCCTATATACGTCCCATTCCTGGACACAGACCAGAGAGGAATTCAAGGCGAAGATTATCATATTTACGTATAAAATAATATATTATGTTTGTGTCTGCGCTGTGGGGCATATAAAGGCTGTTACTTTTTTGTACTCGGTTGCGTTTACTCACTTGATTTGTTTTTAGTGTCGTAGATTCGTCTGCTACTGTGCCCTAGAGGATGGTAGTAAAATAGAAGGAATAAAAGTGCCACGAGTTGAGGTGTCAAACATGAATTGTGGTAAGTTTTCTTTGTGTCTTTCTTATAATTTTCGTTTACATTGCCTATATTCGTTTAGTTTACACGGTTATCATAACTATATTATCTAGGTAAAAAAAAAACTAGAACATTTCAGTTTAAAAATAGGATGCTTATAAGAGCAGTATTAAAGCGCAAGAGAAAGTTCAGTGAAACTCTACTTATCTAATAGAGCGCATATCTAAACTATAACATCTGTTACTTTACCATGTTTTATGCAAATATAGGTTTTTTATTATTATTGTTATTGTCATACAGTATTCTCATCTGGTTGAGCTTGATAAATATATAAAAGAAAATTATATATATATACATAAATATACATTTTTATTATTATGAGGGGTATCTATATAGTTTTCTCATCTGGTCGGGCTGTATAAATATATAATTGTAAATGAAAATGATAAACATACTAATAATATTGTTACATAAAATAATAACAATAAATAAATAAATAAAAGCCCAACCAGATGTTATTGCTTGCATGATATGAAGACTGCAGACACTATCTGCTCGGGAGCGAATGAATGGGGTACTTGAGGATGATGAAGTTTTGAAGGTGTAGAGTTTCCGAAGGTTTGTTGGTTGCGTGTTCATATCACGTCGGGTGGTCACCACTGTAGCCGGTGGAAGGAAAAGGGGTAAAGGGGAGATCTCCCGCCGGGCAAGGTGTTCTGCCCGGGGAGCGGCCAACGCTCCGAGTGGTAGTTCGAAGCTATTCTATATATATTGCTTTAATTTCGGAACTTTGTTAGCGCGATTTAGGCTTCGATGTGTTTCGCTTGTGGCGGGACGACAGCGCCGCCACATTTTTATTACTATTATCCTTGGGCGTCATAATCGTTCCAGCGACAAAGGCCTTTTACTGTGAATAAAAAAAAACACTCTTTTTCATGGCTTTTCCATTGCAATTTTTGTGAAAGAATCTCTAATTAAATTGTATAAGGAATGAAAAAGGGTGATTTCCTTTAATTCACAGAAAAATCGCTTAGTCGCTGATACGATTATGACGCCTAAGGTTTTTTTTTATAAGATTAGGTGACAAACAAGCACACAGTCTACGTGATGGTAAGTGGTGGCTGTGGCCCATAGACATCTACATCTATCCTCGTTTGCGAATCAAAATGCAGATGCGTTGTCACCCGTGAGGACTAAGATGGAATGCCTCGTTTCCAGTAAAAAAGGGTCTCCGGTTCTCTACACTCACCATAGTGAGACCAGCAGTGTTGTTAAGCTGCTATTTTACGCTAGTATTCTGTGAGAGCGTGGTCCTTTCCCGTTCGAGCCGACCCATTCGTGTTATAACTATACTGCTAATAGCTGCAGTATGGCTCCACCACGTCTAAAATAACAATAATAATAATGTATATTTTGTTACAGATGTTTTTGTTTGGATGTGTGCTTTATTAGATAATAAAATATATCGAAACTTTATATGTATTATTATATTATTTAATTAATTTACAATATTTTCCTCCACTAATTTACTCTAAATGCTTTAAAAACCCAGGACGCTACTTAAAAACTATCCAGCAGTCTTCAGTACACCCCTAAAAGCAGGACATGTCTTGGGAAATCTAGTGCACTATAACCTAGGGAACTGTAGTTTATATTTTCCTTAACTTTCTGATCACATATTATACAGTATTGTTGGAAGAAATCTTCGCCTAAGACTACTTCTTTCTTCTTTATCAATTTGTAAAAATTCACTGTTGGGCCTCTGCTGTTGATGGATTGAGACGTGTTTTGACCCCAGGGAACCAAGAGGAAGTTATAAGCAAAAAGTCTCTTCGATTTTCATCACTTGTCATACGAAACATATTAAGCATTACGCCTCTAATTTGTATTTTTAACGAGTGTTGTACTTCCCTGGTCGAGTCGACGCAATCGCTGTGTAGCTATAAATTCTACAGCTGAATTAGCGTAACGTAGCTCTACCATGTATTAATACACACAGTCCACCTGATGGTAAGTGCCGACCAATTCGTGCTACAACTATACCACTAATATAGCTGCAGCGTGGCTCTACCACGTAAAACGATGTGATGTACGAGATGTGAGGAAAATAAGAAGAATATGGTTCGTGAGTTGAGTTTTCAATGCAAAGAATTTGGAGAGTTTCACAATTTGACACCTATATTACGAAAAGATAAAAAAGATTTTATATATATATATATTCGTATGCCAAAAGAATGCTATAACAAAGTTTTATCAAGAATTGATGACAAAATACCTATATATTTGTTCCTAATATTTTATAGTGTTCGTGGCTGAGGTCGTATAGAATCTTGTTTTCTTTTACTTATAGTAAAAATAATTCAACGTTCAACGGATGCCTTGGCCCCTAGATTCTCTATTAGGAATCAAAATGTTGCGATTAAAAATCAAAGCATTGTCACCCCTGAAGACTAAGAGTGAATACCTCGTTATTGTTCTCTACACTCTCCATATGAAACACAGCAGCATTAAGCTGCTATTTTACGCTCGTATTTTGTAGGAGTGTGGTTCTTTCCGGGTTAAGTTTTAAGTTCCTCTTCATCAGCACTTAAAAGTCCATTGCCGGACCAGGGCCTCCAGTTTTAGGAAGGATTTGCTTAACCGTTTGGTAGGCGATTTGGCAATTGTAGTGTCAAAAGTTTCGAAAATTTAATGCCGTTTCCCGTCGCTGGTCAGTATAGTTAACGACTGGCATAATAAATGAGATGGTTAATACCATTCATCGGAAGCCTTTCAAACATATCTTCTAGCATATCCTAAACTTGCCTTTTACTATACCCATGTTTCTAAATTTCTAAACATTTCTCCACCCACATTTCCACATGTTTTCATAACAATTGTATAAAATATTATATTGTAAATTATGCTTTAAAAAAAGTCCTGCTGCGTTTCTTGCTGGTTCTTCCCTGGACAGAGGTTTTTTTGCGAACCAGCGGTAAAAGTAAAAAATGACTTTCAATAAGTATCACTGTAATCTACGAGTATATTGAATACAAATGATTCTATTCTATTCTATTCATGGGATGAAATGGGGTGGATGCTTTTGCACGCTTGGCAAACAACGGGCAAAGAGCGAACACCAAGCAACAAACACGAACGTGTGTAGTGTGAGTCAGTCAGCCAGTGATCGGTGTCGGTTTTTGTGCACAAATCAAAGGTTGTTCGACAAACGTGTTTGCGATGTATCCAAACGCTTGGCAATCAGTAGTAGGCGCGAGCGGCGGAAGGAGTTACTAGTGGTTATTATTATTATTCTACCCTACGAAGTGCCATTGTTTATTTAGGTACTGGTGTATTTTATGTTCTTTTTGTTTAATTTATTTTGCCTTTTTATAAATAAAAGTAGGTCAACCCGAAAGTAATCGCTGCCGCTAGCTCGTCGTCCGCCATGTTTGTCCATTGGGAACATTACATTACGCGGTAGAGCCATGCTGCAGCTATATTAGTAGTATAGTTGTAGCATGAATGGGTCGCCTCGACCGGGGGAGGAACACGCTCTCACAGAATACCAGCGTAAAAGAGCAGCTTAACACTGCTGTGTTTCGTATGGTGAGTGTAGAGAACCGGAGACCATTTTTACTGGAAATGAGGCATTCCATCTTAGTCCTCACGCACAACGCATCTGCAGTTTGATTCGTAATCGAGAATAGATGTAGATGTCTATGGGCCGCAGCAACCACTTACCATCAGGTGGACTGTGTCCTCGTTTGTCACCCTTATCCTATAAAAAAACATACTAGCGTGTTCGCCAAGCCTGTGAATACCGTGTTTGTGTTGGGTGATTGTAGTCGGTATTTGACACGTGTTTGGTGATTCTTGGTGTTTGTAGCAAATACCAAGCATATGGAGGCGGCTATACACATGCACTTAGACACCACCTTAATATAGTTTATTATTTATCGTCGACTCAGAGTCTAACAGAGAGGTTGTGAGGAAGAGACACGCACCATTTAAACATCTCGTTGATTAATAATTCTTTTTTTTTAACTCCCTACCATATAACACTGCTCGACAACGTTCTTTGACACTTTAATAATAATAATATAATTTCTTTAGTTCTAAACATAAACACAAATTAACATAACAAAATAAATTAATGGAATGGAACTAAAATGGCGTCTACTCAGCACAAATATTATAGAAACCACATAGTGGTAACTATAACGCCGATTTTCAGTAAACGCCAGAGACATAGGTGGTATAAAATAAATTTAGCTAATCACAGGCTCCAACATAAAATAAAAATATACTCTTATAAAATGTATAAATAATTCAAAAAAAAAACTGTTAACATTTAGGAAAAAAAGACACAATAAGAAGCAAACACAACAAAAAGCGTAACAAAGGGCATGTGCAAGGCACAAGGCACACAGTTAAATTATTTAATAAGACACAAAAGCAAAATAAATGTAGAATTAAGCAGGTATTTCTTAGTTTTATAACATCATAATGGGCAGACACAGTATACTTCATAAGAAAGGTGTGATACATCGACACAGAATTATACTAACTTTGCAAATTTAAAAGATATTCTTTTAGTTTTACTCTAATAGTGCGAACTGTTGTGCTGTTTTTGATCGGAGGTGGTATATTATTCCTTTCCTTCAGGGAAGATTTGCCTTAACATTTAATTTTATATTGGTATTGCGATCGTATATCTGGACGTTTGGCACATTTGACGCTACTTCTCGTCGCTTTTCTGCATATTTTACGCCTGGCGTGAATGAGGTGGATATATCGCCCTTTATCGAAAGGTTAAAGTTACAGCCTATATACGTCCCACTGCTGGGCACATGCCTCATCTCATTTCTGAGAGGGTTTTAGGGCAAGGAAATGGCCGCCGCGCTGCCCCAATGAGTGTTGGCGAACTTCTTCAAAATGTTTTTTTCTTATTTCTCAGAAATGCAGGTTTTCTCATAATGTTTTCCTTCACCGCCAAGCACGTGATAAGTCAGCACTGAAAATTGCAATTAACAATTTCATTG